GAGAGGCAGAGACACTGCCACTACCAGAAACCCGTGAGCCACGCTTATTGTTGCGGTGGTGGTTGTCAACTGCCCTTCTTGCCGTAGCATTGTTATTATACTTGTTTCTCAAGACAGACATAAGGTATTCAGCTCGTCGAACAAGGTGGACAGCGCCTGGTGATTTTGTTGCCTTCTCCTCCGTCTGCAGGCGTTGTGTCTTTCGCTCCACTCGGTGTTCTTCAAGGAAGAATTTGTCTCCGAGGCCAAGCTCGGTGTCGTCGCGAATCTGGGTCCACGCACCAAACCCATGGCGTGCGATGCCTACAAGAAGCATTCCGTCTTCACGCGCACCCCAATGGCAGCTGTAGTCCGCCAATTTGGTAGCTTCAGGGAGCCGGAATGTTCTAAAATCAGCCAACGCTTTGATGATGCTTCGGATTAGGCGCATATCTGGTGGACGCTCAACAATAGTCCATGCGTTGAGTCGCTTGACACCGTGATGGTCGAACAAGACAGCCTTCTGCTCTTTCTTCGTGGGGTTCCTGCCCGATTGTTTCATGGCCTCTAATTGATCCAGACTTGCCTGGACAAGCGAGTTCGCCTTTTCGGTGATTTCATGGAGAGCTTCACGAACGGTGCCCCGATCGCGGGTTTGTAACCTAGCATCCTCGAGGATAAGCTCCTCAGAGTCATCCATATCGCCGTAGCGAAGGAAAGCTCGAGAAAGCGCACGGTATTCTTTTTCTCCGAGGGGGCGCTTGGGATCCAATGAGGCACTCTCTTCCTCGCCATCATCGATATTGACCTGAGCTCTTGCGAGGCGTTTCGCTTTGCGTTCCTCCCGTGAATCTGTCGTGTCTGTTGGGGCGTGGCGCTTGCGAGGTCGGTTTTGCTCAATGACTTCAGCAAGATAATGGGCATCATCTTTCCGCTTTTCCTCAGCCTTGAGCACCTCAAGCTGTTCCTTGGGAATGATGTCGTCCCATGTGAGATCGTCAACTTTGATGTCGACGAAGTCAAACGCTTTCAAAAATTCTTCACCACCATCGGCTTGGATTTGCTCCGCCTCTTCAGTTTGGTGTAATTCTGCGTTAGCAAGAACAGAATCGATATCAAGCTGCTCCAATTTCTTCTGGTTGTCAGTTTGTTCGAACATCTTCTGACCGCGGCGCTTGAGGATCCGAGAGATATCGTCTGTGGAATTAGGCTCAGCTACCACGCGAGCCATCTTGTTTTGCATCTCCGAGGCTTCTTTGTCTGTGACACCACGCTGAATGGTAATGAACTCCAGCAAGAGCTTGTTACGAGCTCTTTCAATGACTTCTTCTTCGATAGTGTCCTTTGACACAAGGCGGTAAACGCTGACAGGTCTTGTTTGACCAATGCGATGAGCACGCGCCATAGCCTGCAAATCAGCCTGGGGGTTCCAATCCGAATCAAACAGAATGACTGTGTCTGCAGTCATAAGGTTGATACCGAGACCACCTGCGCGTGTTGAAAGAAGGAATGCAAAGTCGGTGCTACCAGGGGCATTGTAATGCTCAATTGCTAAGCGACGGGCGGCAGACGGAATTGTTCCATCGAGCCTTTGATATTTGTAACCACGGTACTCCATGTACTCACTCAGGATGTTAAGCATGCCAACCATCTGACAGAATATCAAAACTCGGTGGCCGTCAACGCTCAACTTGCGAAGGAGTTGATCGAGAAGCATCATCTTTCCACTGCTGGTGATCATGGCTCGAAGAATATCTTCTCGGCGACTACTGCCTTCCAAAATCTTTGCTTCTGCATTGGGGAACATGAATGGGTGGTTGCTAGCTTTTTTCAGTTCCATCATGATATTCAGAAGAGACTGCTTCATTCCCTTGTTCCCGTCGTTTAGTGCAGCGTAGTTCTTCGTCAATATGTTCTTGTAGTATTCCAATTGGACATCAGAGAGCTCTACTCGAATGATCTTCTCGGTTTTCGGGGGAAGGTCCGACTCAACCTTGGACTTGGTACGCCGCAACATGTACGGCTGAATGGCATTAGTTAATTCCGCAAGTTTTTGAGATGCTGCCTCGGAATTCAAATCCATATCGGCATCAACATCAATGAGGCCCGGATTAAGGAAGTCCATTAGTGCTGAAAGCTCAGCGAGATTGTTTTGTATCGGGGTACCGGTAATCAAGAGGCGTGCCTGGCATTTCCATTCGAACAACTTGATGTAGAGTTGTGAATCGCGATTCTTGAGACGGTGTGCCTCATCCACTGCCATAAATTGCCACTTGAATTGGCCGAGGAACGGTGAATCGTTCATTGCATACTCGTAAGTTGTCAACAGAACGTGGAACTTTGGACGTTTCGGATTCCCATCGACCATCAATTCATAATCGCGCAAAACGGAACGCGCCTTCTCACTACCGTTGTAAACAACGTAGTTCAGGTCCGGTGTCCAGTGATCAAACGTATCAGCCCATGCTGGCATAGTAGACAGGGGAACGATTACAATAAACGGCCCTTGCTGCCGCCTGACATGACGCATCCAGTTGATGAATGAAACAGTTTGTACCGTCTTTCCGAGGCCCATCTCATCTGCCAAAACCACATTGCGGCCCCTGACCCAATTGAAAGCCAAGAAGTTTAGACCTTTGACCTGGAAATCCTTGAGTTCACCATTTTGCAAAAAACTAGGGGTTCCGTGAATGGGCTCGAAGGATTTACGCGTCGCAACATTAATCTCGTTCTTGTCTGAGACGGGTTGTCGAGCAGTGCGGTCCAAGAATCGGTCAACCTCTCGCTGTGCGATCTCACTAACCAGATCCTCGGGTTCCCAAGTACAGGAATCGTAGAAAAGACGTTTCCATTTGACAAGGTATTCCATGGTTCCATCATCGCCATCGCGTACACCAATGACTCGTTCAACCTTTTTGTAATCCTCTATGGCCTCAACGTCCCGTTCGCGATCGAGGTTCCACTTTTCACGGTCTTCAGGAGGGGCGTCGACACTATACTGCAACCGAATATCCTCGTTGAGGACCTTGCGAACATAGTTATCCACGCGTCGCGTGCTGCGGAAGTTGGAAATAGATTCATTGCTTTCCCATGTAGCATGGTAGTGTGACTTGTCCTGCCACTTGATACAAAACTCAAAGTCGTTGCGGCCAAGATCACGAGATTTTGGGTCGATGCCCTCCTTGAGGCGGTGATTCAGGACGACGTCGACAGCCGGGCGAGTGTCTTCTGCGTAACTCTCTGCCCAATAGTTCGGTGGAAGATCTTCTGGGTCGTCTTCAAACATGGCTTCGTCGTCTTCATCATCCTCATTGTAGTTCGACACTTTCTTGGCGGTTCGCGTTGAGAAGCGGACTTCGTTCAATGAAGGTTCATAGCTAGCAGTTTGTTGGAGACGTCGCCTTCTCGCTTTGCTAGCCCGAGCGCTCTTTCCACCATATTCATCACTGTCTGACTCGGACAGGGACGACACAGTGGCAGATCGGGATGCCTTAGATGGTTGTTGAGATGGATCTTTGCGCCGACGCTTGGTACGAGGCGCAACATCATCCGAGTCTGAATCAGATGAGTCGGCGAGATGGCGTGTCGTGCGGGCACGACCACTTCGCCGAAGACCATACAAATCGGGATTTTGTCTGATCAGGTCAGTTTCGCTAACCGGTGACGATTTGCGCTTCGCACCGCGGTCGGGGTGAGGGGATGAAGAGTTTTCACGGCTGTACGAGTTGGCGTCATAATCACTGTTGTCCTCTGCTGCATCCTCATCTTCCGCATCAGAATCGGCAGACGCGCCATCATATGAGTCGTCCGCGGCATCGGGTTCGGGGGAGGACTCGGAGGCGGGGTGAGACTCCATGGGCTCAGACAAACTGCGTTCACGTTGCGTTACCGCATCGCCATCCGCGTGGGTATCGTCAGCGACGGGCGAAATAGGGTAGCCATTAGACATCGTCGAGGTAGAAGGATGTTCCTGAGCAGATGGGATCACCATGCCAGAGGCTATTACCGAGGGGCAGTCAGCATTGAAGCTCGATTTGGGCTAGGAGAGGCATGAAAGAGACAGAGACGGGTAGAACAATAGCACGCGACCCAAATTGCGGTCAAATGGAGCCCAAAACATAGCAGGATGGAACGGGATATTGACTTTGATGACAGAGTATGTTTTTTGATATCGGGTGGGATGAACGCGGCCAGGCTGAAAGCCAAATCAATGGACAGATTGATACACACAACCAGACTCGGAGAAAGCAATAACACGCTACTTGATCAACAACAGTTGAAAACCGTCCCGATCGGAAGAGAATATAGAGATTCAAGGATTCGTGCAGTGGGTCGACAAGCGCGGAGAAGTACCGCGGCGAATGCTTCGGTCGGCACGTCTGTGCTTGAGGAAAAGATTAAATCACTTACACTCCATAGCGTGGTGACCCCGAAATCGGGGGATCTGTTGATCAATTTGGGAAAGTAAATGGTGGGGGGTGAGGCGTGATTCTGCAAACTGGGGGGAGGAGGAGACGAGAGACTTGGAAGAACTAAGAGTTGGGGACTGACTGGAGGGTTTGCTTCGGTTTGGTTTGCAGGGAAAGTAGACACCTGATCTATCCGGCACCAACAACGCTTGACCTGATTGAGACTAGCGTATTCGCTTGGCGCCTGACCTGCTGTATCATCACGTGGCTTGCAGACTTCGGATAAAATATCAAACCGAGCCTAGGCCAACAGCCAATCACCGCCTTAATAAATAAGTGACGCAGATGTGGCCTAAGGCATCACAGCCCACAGAAAGCAAAGTGCACTCAATTCTGCCGCCCCTCGTTCGTTGATGGTGGTGTTTCTTCTTGTCTTATTTCTAGACGAGACTGCGCAAAGATACTTGGTGCTTTAGCTGAGCCTTCATTTACCTGCGACAGCACTTATTCGGTCAATTTCAACCCTTCACCCCTCCTACACTCGGTGCTGATTCTTCTTTTTTTCCCCCTCCGCTTCACATACACGGTTTCTTTGAACCACATCCACCCATCATGTCTGACAAGCTTACCCGGTATGTTTCTGAGCCTTTGAAGTGCCATCTCATCAGCTAATGGTTTTTTTTTCGCTGTAGTATTGCGATCATCAACAGTGACAAGGTTTGTCGCGAAATACCCCCACTGATAGGATTTTCATGGAATGCCTGGCTCACACCACATCTTTTCCATTTTACAGTGCAAACCGAAGGTACAGCATTCGACACAATATTTCACGGTGTCCACAGAGGCTAATCAGTTACAGAAATGTCGTCAAGAGTGCAAGAAGTCTTGCCCCGTGGTCCGCACAGGCAAGCTTTGCATTGAAGTCGATCCCACTTCTAAGATCGCCTTTATCTCCGAGCGCCTGTGCATTGGTTGTGGTATCTGCCCCAAGAAGTGCCCATTCGGAGCCATTCACATCATCAACTTGCCCACCAACCTCGAGACCCAAGTCACCCACCGCTACTCGGCCAACAGCTTCAAGCTTCACCGACTTCCTATGCCCCGTCCCGGTCAGGTCCTCGGTCTGGTTGGAACAAACGGTATCGGAAAGAGTACCGCGTTGAAGATTCTTAGTGGCAAGCTCAAGCCTAACCTCGGTCGTTACGACAACCCTCCTGACTGGGAGGAGATTCTGAAGTACTTCCGTGGTTCCGATTTGCAAAGTAAGTACCACAGCCCGTATACCACGGTCTCTATTTCACAGTGCTAACTGTGATAGACTACTTCACCAAAATTCTAGAAGACAATCTGAAGGCGGTTGTGAAGCCTCAATATGTCGATCAGATTCCCCGTGCGGTGAAGGGACCAATTCAGCAGGTTCAGGAGCTCATCTCGGCGCGCGCTGCGCTGGGTAACGAGGAGGAAATTATGGACGTCCTCGGTGCGATTCCTTGCTCCAAAATTTCGTAATACAACTGCTAATTTTGATCCAGAGCTGAAACAAGTTGCGCAGCGTGATATCGGTCACCTTTCCGGTGGTGAGCTCCAGCGTTTTGCAATTGGTCTGGTTTGCGTGCAGAAGGCCGATGTGTATGACCTCCCTTTACTATACCTGTGCCATTGAGTTCCATCCGTTACTTACACTATTTAGCTACATGTTCGACGAGCCTTCCTCATATCTCGATGTTAAGCAGCGTCTGGCTGCTGCCCGTACTATCCGCAGCCTCCTCCGCCCCGACGACTATGTCATTGTTGTTGAGCACGATTTGTCCGTTCTCGATTACTTGTCCGACTTCATTTGCGTGTTGTATGGTCGTCCTGCTGTTTACGGTGTCGTCACTCTGCCTTCTTCCGTCCGTGAGGGTATCAACATCTTCTTGGATGGTCACATTCCTACCGAGAATTTGCGATTCCGTGAGGAATCTCTCACTTTCCGTCTTGCCGAAGCGGGCGAAGAGTTCATTGCGGATAAGGATCGTGCCTTTGCCTATCCATCGATGGAGAAGACTTTGGGTGACTTCCACCTGAAGGTTGATGCCGGAAAGTTCACCGACTCCGAAATTGTTGTCATGATGGGTGAGAACGGAACTGGAAAGACCACTTTCTGTAAGATGCTTGCTGGTGCATTGAAGCCCGATGGCCTTATCTCTGTCCCCAAGATGAACATCAGCATGAAGCCCCAGAAGATCACTCCCAAGTTCACGGGCACTGTACGCCAACTCTTCTTCAAGCGTATCAAGACTGCTTTCCTGTCTCCTCAGTTCCAGACCGATGTCTACAAGCCCCTGAAGATGGATGACTTCATCGACCAGGAGGTTCAGAACCTGTCCGGTGGTGAATTGCAGCGTGTCGCTATCGTCTTGGCCCTGGGTATGCCCGCTGACATCTACCTGATTGACGAACCCAGTGCCTACCTTGACTCCGAGCAGCGTATTGTTGCTGCTCGTGTCATTAAGCGTTTCATTATGCACACCAAGAAGACCGCTTTCATCGTCGAGCACGATTTCATCATGGCCACCTACCTGGCTGATCGTGTTATCGTCTTCGACGGCCAGCCATCCGTGAATGCTCGTGCTCAAACTCCCGAGTCTCTGGTCGGTGGTTGCAACCGCTTCTTGAAGAGCTTGGATGTGACTTTCCGTCGTGACCCCATCAGTTACCGCCCCCGTATCAACAAGTACAACAGTCAAATGGACCAGGAGCAGAAGCTGGCAGGCAACTTCGTAAGTTTTCTACCTCATCCTTGGGTGCTATCAATCATATTTAGAAGTGTTATGCTAACCAACATTCCATAGTACTTCCTGGAAGAAGAGAATTGAAAAGGGCGCCCACAGCGAGCATCGTCGCCGCCGTCACAAACAGGACGGTCGTGACTATGAGCAGCGACGCAACGGGCGCCGCAGCAATTGGAAGATCATGTGGTTAATGGGGATCCCAGGCGTACGCAGAGCCTCGACGGTTCAGGGCAAGGATACCGTCACCGCGCCGGGCCTTCTTCCGGTGCCGACGACGGTCTCTTGGATGACGAAGGCGATGATGACGATTTAAATGGCGACAGTGACCCCGGCTAAAAGGTAGTGACTTGCTTCACATCCTGCTATCCCTGGTCTAGGGCGCTCATTTACTTCTGCGGGCTGTCGCCATTCGTCAGTCTATTAACAAATGCCTACATCATGATTCGCCTTGCAACCATCCTAGATTTGCTGTGGGTTTGTATATCTTATCCAGAGTTATCAGCCCCCAATTGGGAACACATGTCTACAGATCTTCCACTAGCACCTGTTAAGATTTTAATGGTGGATTGGGTTCGGCATGGCTTGTTGTTCCAACGGAGTTCTTATGTTCGCATTTGGTTGGAGGGTTTGGTTTCCAAAAAAAGCTCTTCCATGAATTTTATGATATATTTAAAGAAGGGTTTCATGTCAGTATAGATTAGTGATGAGGTTGTTTTCAAACCGGGGATGGCATGGAATAGGTGACTGCTTAAAAGCTGCCAGGTTCATTGCCTCTACGTCATGTAGATAGATAGTTTTCAACCCAATGTTGTGCAGATGCTTAAAACCCGCTTAAAACCCGTCTTTCTTTTTTTTCAAAACGGATGCTTTCTCGTTTACCAATCCTGATTGTTAAGAATAGTGATCCGGATTTTCTTGTAATCCTTAAAGCTCTTAAGGAACTGGCATGCGTTTTCTTCTTCGTCTCTATGGACGAAAAAGCCGGACCTGTCGCAGACATATCGACCTAGGTGTCCCATTTAATCATGGGGGAGTATAAGGGTACTTGTTTTAGTAGGCGTGTAGGATGGAATACCTCTATAGAGTGTTTACACACATTTTTGGAAAGGATACGGATGCATGTGATCTAAGAGACACTTACTATATCCTACTATGAAGACAGAGTCCAATAGGGGAGAAAGTGGAGTGAAAGGAGACAAAGAGGACGAAAGACATAGGGTAGAGACCAGAGAAGATAGCCACCTTAGCCTTAGATCAGCCCTATATGGTAAACACATCAATGTATACTACCTCAAAGATGGATCCAAGCAGTAGCAAGGCAAGGACTTGAACCCACCTTGAAACTATTTATGTTGAGAGCCATGAGGGCCCTAGAATTGCCTCTCTTCTTAATTCAAATGAATTGGTGTTGGGACATAAAGACCTGTGGAGTTTGCTTGCTTTTAAACTGCAAGAAGCCAACATCTTGCAAGGTTCTGTGTGGCATGTTTTCAACCCCTCTGCATCCCTGGATTTATCATATTACCCTGTACAAGTCTTGAATTCATGAGTTAGGTTAGATGGCAATTCTCAGGTGAGATGTGAAGTCTGTCACACATGAGATCCACGGGGGGAGTGTTCTTTGGTACACATGTAGGGCTGCAATTTCTTTGACCGAAGAGTAGTTCATGAGGGTAGTTGGAAGGATATGTCAATGAGAAAGTGGGCCTATGAGGCAAGAATGATTGGAAGACATACAACCTTGAAGAGGTTGCTAGTAAAATGTTTGATTGATAAACGGCCGCAGCTGCAAAAGTGCAATTAGTGCAGCTGTGGAGTGGTATTATGGGAGACTAGAATGGTTGAGACGCAACTTTGGACCAAGCATAAGGGTGAGCTCGAGCTGTATGCAAGTCGAGATAGTGTATAGAGGGAGTTACTAGGCCTTGAAGAAAGCAAATGAGGTTGCAATGGATTAAGCTCAATATCCTACACGAATTTTGAAGGGCAGAGATAACTTGCACATGAGGTCAAGTGTGAATGAGAATGTCCATTCCCATCTACTCCTCTTCAATCTCTCCTTCCTCGCTGCCAGAGTGAATGGCCTTCTCGTCCTTCTTCGCATCCTCGGGTTCTTCTTCCGGAATAGCAGAGCGTTCACGTCGGGGCACTCTAGGACCCTTGCTGCGCTCTCGCTCACGGCTATCACGTCGGTAACGCTTGGCAGACCGGCTAGCCACGCTCTCGGTATCACTGTCACGTCGGCGTCGGCGGTCACCACTGGCCACACTACGACTGTCAACACCACCAGTACCACCACCGTAGTCAAGCTCATCGCGGCCTCCACGGGGATCACCACGAGTGCGATACAAGCGCTCCCGTTCGTCTTCACGTCGATCTGGGTCTCTAGTACGGGGTCGGTCAAAGTCACGGTCCCGGCTACGATAACGGTCACGGTCTCCACGTTCGTCGCGACGGTCACGAGATGGGGAGATACCGCTGACCTTGCGGTAAGTTCGTTCGCGGTCGGCCTGTGCCTTGCGACGATCTGCTTCGTATGCATCCATTTCGGGGGTGCGGTTGGACTGGCCGCTGGGTCCTCGTCGTTCTCCTCGTCCACTGCGGTACTCACGATCGCCACGGTCGTAGTCCCGCCGACTTCCACGGCTTTGGGAGTGTGCTTCGCGATCCCTGTCTGCATCCTCGTCTCTTTCTTTCAGGCGGCGAATTGCTTTTTCAAAGGCAGACTCCCGAAGCTCATCGGACTCCAGGGCCTTGTATTCTTCGTATTTCTCAAGGCGAGGTTGAATTTCAGCCCAGGTGTCGGTGACCCTGACAGGCGGCTCTAGGCGCTTGATACGTGAGCGCAGTGCGTCCACGGCGCGGCGCTGTTGACGATCGGCGGCGTGCTTTTCATCCTCTGTGCGACGGATCGCCTTTTCTTGAATGCGTTGGAAGATGAGGTTGAGGATCTCAGGGTCGATCTTGGAGGTGCGGCGATCGCTGGACATGATAGAATTAAATTCATCAAATGTAGTTTCAGTCGTAACTTCAAATCGCTTGTCCTGGAATTATTTGTTAGTATGCATGATCAACGATTCGATTCGCTCCAAGAGAACTTACATCTAGAACGTCTAGAACGTCGTTCCGAGGTCCACGCAAAGCGCGCTCTTCTTCTTCCACCATATCCCAGAACAAATCAAGAGGGGTCGAACCAGGCTGGCCCAGGATGCCATGGTATCTGGGGTCATCATTTATGATCGGGCAGATATTCATCCACTTGGCGCCCGCCTTGATCTTACCTTGAGACTTGAGCTCCTTAAGGAGGGCGACAAACTGCTCTCGGTTCTTACGCTCCTTTCTGGCTCTGGCTGCCTTGTGCTGCTGGCGAGCGTCGTTGAAGGCCCGCTCCAGAGACTTGATATGATTTTCGAATGCAGTTAAAATGTCGCACTTGCTCAAAGTTTTGAACTTGTCGTCGCCTTGGAACTTGCTATCAGACTGAATAATAGCATGAGCCTCGGACCAGCGCGTGTAAGGCTCCAGATTAAGTGAGCCCAAAAGTTTCATCAGCTCATCCATAGCGGCCTTGTGCGTGACGGATTCTTGTTCGACGTGAACCTTTTTGAGTTCAAGGATGTACTCTTCGAAAAGCTGGCGTCTCTCGCCTTCCTCCTTGGTCGACCTGAATGTGGTCTCCCCCTCAATGATCGGACGAATCGTTTTCCAGCGGCTGTAGAATTTAATTTCAGGGTGCCGCTTCAGCATGGTATTAAAATCCGCCCGAAGCTTGGCGAATCGTTCTTTTGCTCGGTCCTTTTCCTGCATACGAACCTCGACCACGTATTTCTCGAATGCCGCCTTGCGGTCGCGTGGATCTTTGAGAGCCCGGTACTGCGGGTCCTTGATTGTAGCGCGCATTGTATCTTCCCAAGTCCAGTCGGGCTGCACATTGTGGCGTTTGAGCAGCTTCATAAAGGCGCTCTCCGCCTCCTCAAGAGAATGATAATCGGGATCCATCTGCGACTTGTGTTCAGGAGCAGCAACCATGCCGCTTGTTTCATATGACCCGTATGTACCTCGTCGGTCGCCGTATCCCCGGTCACCGCGGTCACCTCGGTCAAAGTCTTCACGGTCACGTTGCTGGGAATGCGAGAAAGAGGTTCCACCCGCAACGAATGAAGGCGCACTGTAATGAAATCAGCATTGAATTAAGTAGATTTGGGAAGGTACTTACGCGGGGGTTGCTTGGGGGGCAGGCGCCTGTGCAAGCGCATCTCTGTAAACTGCAGGCATCTCCCATGTGCTCTCCTTGGTTTCAGCGTGGTACCAGTACTTGCGCCCAGCATCTGTAGTGTGTTCCTTCCATGGCTGGTTTGCGAGAGCGAGCTTCAAAAAAGTCAGTTAAGCTCGTAACATTCTAAGTTCAAATACAAACCTCAACCGGAGTCATCAACTCTTTAGGCTTGGTCCATTGTGTGGCTTTGGTCTGGATATTGTAATAATAAACGCGCCCTTCAGAATTTTGCGCCTGCTGCCATATGGCAGAACCTGGGTTGCTGCTTTGATCCATTGTGAAGAGTGTTGAAGAGACTACGAAAGAGAAGTGAAAACGGAGCTTCATCACTGATCTCCGCACTTTTGCGCTTTTGGCCCCTCGCGTCGACCGTATCAACACTTATCGGTTATCTCCTGAGCTCCAAGTAGCCATTTTATTGAATCCTTTGCGACATCCATTGTCGCAATGGCTGGTCTAGAGATTCCGGGTGAATTATTGCGCCATGCCATTCTTGATACAGTTGTGCCTCATGCTCCGATACTCGATTTTGAGAGCGCTTTGAGTTCGGCCCTAAAGGACGGAGCTGATGATCTCTCCTCTATCCTCTCGTCAATCCCTCAACGGTCTCTATTGTTCTTTGGTATGCAATTCCAACAGCTCGATAGGTGTTGCCTCTTACTCATCAGTAGCCATTAGATGAATTTTTGCCCGTCCGTATCGTCTTGAGACTGTCTGATTGCCCAGAAACGATCCTAAAACACCACCTGCCACGCCTCGAAGTCAAGCTTGATGTCTTTGCCGTCGATCCAGCAGAATCAGTTGGTGAGAATCTAACACCAACTCGTGATTTAATCTTTTCGGGAATTGTTGGAGGAGATCGGGACCCCCTGGTGGTCTTCAATGAATTCGAAGCCGATGAAGGCAAGGGGAATCATGTATATTTGATTTGGAACATTGAAACTATACTGCGTGAGTTGACTGAATTTTGGGGTTGGATATCAAGAACTGAACATCACTAATTTGCTGACAGGGCGTCCCCGTATTCGAATCCAACACCCCTCTCTCTTGTTCATTGCCTCTGTCAGTCTTAATCCAGCTGACGCTCGCCGCCAAGAGGACTCGGAGGATGACTATCTCCCTTCATTAGTTCCTGCATCGACCAATATGCTGCAATCTCTATCAACCGACAAAACCTTCAGCCATAAAGAGCCTTTCCTGCCTGCTTCCAGACTATTGAGGGTTATACCGACGACACATAACGAGGCCCCGGTTTACAATATTCAGCAACAACATGGTCATCCATTTCGTGTTGTGCCCGCCGCAAGTGCAAGGATTCGGTACTCTCGGCTGAGTTCTTACACTGCTATTCCCATGACTGTCGCCAGTCTTGACTTTGAAGTCACCCCTTATCTGGCTTGCGAGGTCTCCTTTGACAAAGCGAAGCTTCACCTGTCCGATGGAACGATTGAGTCGCTGTCAGATACACCGGGCCTGACTCTTCCTATTACGTGCCGTCCGCGAGACGACGTGACTCTCATGTATAAACTTACACCGGAGTATGGCCCAGAGACTAACCCATCATCTACCGCCTTGGTTAGCACGCTGGACATATCTCTTGAGGCAACAATTCTTGTGGATGATGATTGCAAGCCACGTATTTCTATGCAATGGAAAGCCAACGTCGACTTTTCAGTCGCCCTCAATCCGACTTATGGGGGGCCCAGTCCAGCGCTGCAAAGGGCCAACCGCCCTGCTAGTCTATCAGTGTCAACTCAAGTGGGTGTAGCTCCTTCCCATCGAAGCTCATTACGAGAACGAGCATATTCGGTAACAGATGTTGGTATCACAATCTCCTTCTCCGGACCTGTTCGTGTGCAAGTGGGCTCTGTCTTCTCTTGGGATATTTTCATTGTCAATCGATCAAGCATTCCTCGCAAGTTTGCGTTAATTGCCATTCCCAGGCGGAAACGCTTAGACCCACGAGGACAGGTTGCTCGGCCTTCATCGTCATCTAGTACTAGCCGCAAAGAGGACCAAGTGGCCGAGGCGGTGGCTGACGACAACGTCGTGCATGCGAGGCAAAAAAGTGTAGCTGGTCAGGAAGCACAACTGATCAGCCTAAGCACGGACATTCGTGTGGGGTGAGCACTTTCAACCCTCGTTCTTTTCTTTTACTTCTCTAAATTGACGTTTCTGTCAGCCCCCTCCTTCCAGGAACTTGCCACTCGACCGAACTCAAACTCCTGCCTCTAGCCACGGGCCCACTCCATTTGGAGGCAATCCGGCTTATAGATGTGAACACGAACGAAACGACCGATATCCGAGATCTTCCGGACATTTTGGCGGATGATCAGCCTCGCTCTAGTTAAGAGTAGCCCAAACACTGTACATATATATAACACGAATCTATAGCTGCTTTCATTGAGGCTTATCTTTGACAACATGGTCTGATTTCAGAAAAATCTTCGTCTTGAGGCTGACAACATCCTCGGCCCGAGCGATTGCGTTTCTTAGTTGAGGCTCTACGCGATCTTATATTCACTTTGTAGCATTTCACTGCCATGTAGCTGCGCTCTAGCAGCTGATTTTAGGTCTTGAAGCTCCAAGCCGCATCGTCCTCAAGCGATCCACAATGATCGACACACCCGAGGTCGGATCGGAACCGAAAATGCCATGGTCCCAAGGCCAGAACATTTTAGTGTTCAAATCTACTGGAATATGGGCTGTAATGTAGTAGTTACAAAACTCACATTAAGTGTTGTAGGGCAAATTGTGGAGTACTACGGAGTCACCTAAGTAGAACATGTAGTAAAATAAAGTTCAATAAATGTGATTGGTGGAAGGAGATCACGGGGTAATCGACTCAGATGACTTTAATAGGAAGAACTTGGACAGGATCTCCTTTGATATCGTCATCTTGTCTACGATTTTCTTATGTACCTCGGGGACTGGGTTCAATATCCAGCTCCTCAGCTTTGCTCTTCATCTCGGTGTTCCTGGGCTTTGCGTCATACTGGCGCACCTGGTTCCTTCCCTATCAGTCTGCTCCAGTCACCAGAATCTTCTAACATGATCTGCTCTGCGAAACGGAAAGTCCTGAATGGACTGAATAAGAGATACATTTACGGTCGCGTGGTATGTTTGATGCCCCTTACTGACGTCTGGCATGTTGTTACTGTTTACAGAGGCTGACCCTGTTCTCACTAGCCTTTATTGCACACGATCATTTTCCTCGTCGAGATGGCAGTAGCAGCACGTCTTGCTGCCAAATTTAATACCTACTATGCCGAAAGGCCAGGTGTGCATCTTCCCGCCGGTTCTCAAGGGATCGCAGACTGACATCATTGCTATAAATAGTGCTCACGACGATGGTCACCAACGCTGTAAGCACTGCGAAGTAGACCAAACTCTGAACCGACAGTTGACAAAATGGATGTTATAGGTGCTTGGTGGTGTTGCCGATACCGTTGCGCAGCTGATTACGGCCTTCCGGACCCGCCGGCCTCAGACAAGCGGCGATGATTTCCTTTCGATAGAGATCCCCGACTTTGACAAGAATAAGCCCCCTGCTGTAGGGGAACTGGGCTTTGCCCGGACCTCCTCGCCGCCCTTCGATTTTGAGCGTCTAACAAGATTCATGGCTTATGGCTTCATCATGGCGCCGGTGCAGTTCCAGTGGTTTGGATTCTTGTCCAGGGCATTCCCGCTCACCAAGAAGAATCCAACGGCTCCTGCTTTCAAACGTGTCGCTTTTGACCAGCTTATCTTTGCGCCATTTGGTATGCTCTTCCTCTAGCAACTTCGGGATTTTTTGGACTGGACTGATTTTTTCTAGGTCTGGCGTGCTTCTTCACCTACATGACAATTGCAGAAGGTGGTGGTAAACGGGCACTAACACACAAGTTCCGAGATGTCTACCTACCCACTCTAAAGGCCAACTTTGTGCTTTGGCCAGCAGTGCAGATTTTAAACTTCCGTGTCATTCCGATCCAGTTTCAGATTGTGAGTGTCGCAGGCCCTCCTTGTTGAGACGTGACCCATACTGACTTGCTCAGCCATTCGTCTCAACCGTTGGCATTGCGTGGACCGCATACCTTTCTCTGACTAACTCCTCCGAGGAGTCCTAATTGAATGCCATTCAACGCGAACATCATGATAACGATTGGGGCTATAAAGGCGATAAATTGCACTCTTTCTTCTGCCATACTACTCGGGCGTTCTGGTTGATCAGTCTGGCTTTCAAGCACATGGCTATGGTATTTGCCCATTGACAGTGTTTGCAATTCAAAAGGTCAGATTTTGCACATTTGGGAATGCCAAATCGGCTGTTGACAATTTTTGGTGATTTGACTTGGGACGCTTCAGGAAAATTCCACTTTTCAACCCTGGAGCTTTACATGATTTGGAATTGGAAAGTATCCGAGCATGTAACAGCTATGAACACCAGTAGAGGTAATCCCAGAATCTCCCGACTCCGAGACTAAAGAGGACCTTAATGGCCCGGCCTTCTCTGAATCAACAGCATCTCTGACATCAGTCCCGCGTCAGCCCGATCAGCTCTCCGGGGATCCTCGGGTACGGGGAACTGGGGTACCAATTTTGTAGATATACCTGGCAAAGACTTGATGGCATCATATTTAAACAAGTACATCATGCGATCGAGTACATCATGGATAAGTACCCAGGTTGCTATGGTTGCTACCTCTTCACCGGCCTGCCCCACCAAAACTGACCCCTCCTCTCTTTACTGATCGCGACTCACCGTGGCCTGATTAGTTCTTTCTCCTTCTTATACCCCCTTCCTTGCTTCCTTTACCATCTTCATACCATTAGCCATCTACAATGTCTCTCTCCAACAAGCTCCCCGTTACTGACGTCGACCTCAAGGGCAAGCGTGTCTTGATCCGGGTAAGTTTCCAGCTAGTTGAACTTCACAACTCGCAGCCCCTAACCGCTGATTGAAACAGGTTGACTTCAATGTCCCCCTCGATGAGAACAAGAACGTTACCAACCCTCAGCGTATCGTCGGCGCCCTGCCCACCATCAAGTATGCTATTGAAAATGGTGCCAAGGCCGTTGTGCTCATGTCCCACCTGGGTCGCCCCGATGGCAAGGTCAATCCCAAGTACAGCTTGAAGCCCGTTGTTCCCGTGCTTGAGAAGCTTCTCGGCAAGAGTGTCACCTTCACTGAGGATTGCGTTGGTCCCCAGACTGAGGAGATCGTGAACAAGGCTTCTGATGGCCAGGTCATTCTGCTTGAGAACTTGCGCTTCCACGCCGAGGAGGAGGGCAGCTCCAAGGACGCCGAAGGCAAGAAGGTCAAGGCCGACAAGGCCGATGTTGATGCGTTCCGTAAGGGCCTCACTGCCCTCGGTGACGTCTACGTCAGTATGTAACCCCACGATAATGTTCCGATTTCTTGTCGTTCTTTTATTCTAACCTCAATTCAGACGATGCTTTCGGTACCGCACACCGCGCTCACAGCTCCATGGTCGGCGTGGAACTCCCCCAGAAGGCCGCCGGTTTCCTTGTGAAGAAGGAGCTGGAGTACTTCGCCAAGGCTCTTGAGAGCCCCGCGCGCCCCTTCCTCGCCATCCTCGGCGGTGCCAAGGTCTCTGACAAGATCCAACTGATCGACAACCTCCTTCCCAAGGTCAACAGCCTCATCATCACTGGTGGCATGGCCTTCACCTTCAAGAAGACTCTTGAGAATGTCAAGATTGGCAACAGTCTCTTCGACGAGGCTGGCAGCAAGATCGTGGGTGAGATCGTCGAGAAGGCCAAGAAGTACAACGTCGAGATCGTCCTCCCCGTTGACTACGTCACCGCCGATAAGTTCTCCGCCGATGCTACCGTTGGTGCCGCTACCGATGCCACTGGTATCCCTGACGGCTTCATGGGTCTGGATGTTGGCCCCGAGAGTGTTAAGCTCTACCAGAAGACCATCGCCGAGGCCAAGACTATCCTCTGGAATGGTCCCCCTGGTGTCTTCGAGCTCAAGCCCTTCGCCGCGGCCACCGAGGCTACCCTCGATGCCGCTGTCAAGGCTGCCGAGTCCGGCTCCATTGTCATCATCGGCGGTGGTGATACCGCTACCGTGGCCGCCAAGTACAAGGTCGAGGATAAGATCTCCCACGTCTCGACCGGTGGCGGTGCTTCGCTCGAGCTTCTCGAGGGCAAGGAGCTGCCCGGTGTTGCTGCTCTGTCCAGTAAGTAAATGATGAAAATTAGGCGCCAAGCGGAGAGTTTACGTCGGCTTTCTTTTCGTCCCGCATGTTTATGAACTGTAATGTACACAGCCAATGAATTTCTATTAATTACAAACAGTCTCTTTTTTTTAAAAAAAAAGACGTCCATTGTGTGCTCTTGGGGCCGATGACTAAGTGTTGTGCCCAGGTACGAAACCGAAGCTTTAGTCGCGACCTCGAGAGATTTCCCATGGTCAACTCATGTATATAGACGAGAGGACCTACGTACGGTGAAGAAGTAAGGCAGCAACGCTACAGTGGCATGTCGATTAAATTGAACCGTGCGATTTCCATCAACAACTCCATCTCGCAATTCCAACTAATACTTCCGTTTATCCAGCTACAGAATATCATCTATAGACTTACACAGAATCAGAAGCTTTGTCATTGGTGGAACATCAAAGAAAACATCATGGTAGTAATCCCGAAAGCAAGATCTGCGCTCCGAGTGATGAATCGTTAAAACGTCAAAAGGACCGTATCTCATTTCCTCCCCGACAAGCTCCCGGCCACTGCATGTGGCAATTATGGTTCCGAACCCTCCCATTGGTTCCAAAGACAGGGGGGTATAGTGTACGAGATGAAATGGCCAGCCAACTCGATAATGAACCTATCCCGAAATCCGACGCGGGGGTTATCTACTTTTGGTGCGCTTGTCTGGTTTCATCTAGATTTAAGCTGATGCTTCGACTTTCTTCAATTCTTCCCTAGATGAGGTGATCGATGTTAGTGGGTGCGGTGAGGGAGGGGAAGCTGACAGCTGTGGCGGAAAGTGGGATGGGGGGTTGCGAGCAACGGTGGCGGTGTAGATATAGGGATAAACGGAAATTTAAAGGCAAGGAACATAGAGTTAAGGGGTATTTGAAGTATAGAAAAGGGAAAGTCGAACTCACTGAAGCTGCTTTGAGAAGTCCTCCGCCGCATCATCGTCATCCCAGCTCTCTTCCCACAGGTGCTCGCTACCGTCATTTGCCGTCGAGCCGTTTGCCTGCTCGGCTTCTTCTTGGGGCCAGTCTGGGTGTCGTAGAGTTAGTTTCGTTGCTTAAGGAAGCGCTTGGGTGCTTGGTCGATACCTTCGACGGGGAAATCCTCAAACTCATCGTCTTCCTCCAAGACTTGGGGCTTCGCTTGTGGCGGGGCCTGCTCTGTGGTATCCGCCTTCTGAGTAGTTGGGTTTGACATTGTGGTAGATGTGAGAGACCAGGAGAATTGAAGGTAGATAGGGATGTGAACGTGGAAGTGGCAGCTTTGAAGTCGGAGGTCGGAGGTCGGAGGTCGGAGGTTTGACTTAGTAAGACCGCGATAAGGTGATAACGATGATGAAGTTTGGAAGCCAACCTTGGAAGACAGTGTACAATTTGGGGTTGAACTGAAATAAATGATTTTAAAAAATTGTTATCTTGGAAAGGGGCATATATCAGAAGATAGTAATGTGTCAAAAAGTGTCATATAACTAGATCGATGTGGAATTGGCTATCGAAGAATAGAGTTGCCCGCACTCGGAGCTGCCAGCGAAAAGAATCCATGGGAAGAGAGCCTCAGTCTAGACGTGCTGTTAGATAACTTCTTCCCCTCCCACTCGACCTTCCCTCCTTCTCTTCTCCTCATTCTTTGTGTTTTCATTTTTCTCTTTGTCATTCCCTCCCAAGAGTGATGTTCTCGTCCCATCGTGATTCCGTTATCGCACAGTTGACATATTGACATTCTTCCTGATCCGGTGCTCTCTCTTTTCGGCTTGGTCGGATTGCCCATACTTGAGACCATCGTGGTTTGTGTCCCAAAAAAATTTAATTCTTCAAACTCACTGCCAGCGGTTTTCGCCATGTTGCGAGTCGGGTCCTGGTTGTACGGCAAGAAGCCGGCACAGTCTGTGGACTCACTGGTTGAGTTGAAAGACTGTGAGTGGTGTTCTTTACTCTAGGAGAGCCTAAAGTGGTTGTTTGATAGTATGCTAACCGCGGTATTCTGAGGCAGTGCACGAGGCGATGGCAGGTATGTCCGATGGGGATTGTCCGGCATTTAGGCACCGACTAATGCCATGTCTTACTAGCGGCAACTCTGATTCTCAATGATGATGTCGATGGTGCGGAGAGTGGTCTCTCAACGGGCACTTCGTCTTTTCACAATGTGAGCGATCTGCACTATCTTTACTATGAGCTATGACGTAGCACGGACCTTGTGGAAAGATACTAAGATACTGACTCTGGATCGAGTAGTTAGCTAAAGGCGTGGTCGCATTCGTCCGGGCAACATTAGGCTTCGAGCAGGAGATTATGCGACAAGGTCGATGTCCTGTAAATCTTCTAAAGCCACTATTTCTGACAATCCTGCAGCATCCGAACGTCTTTATGAAGCAGAAACCAGCGCAGCCAGCGATCAAACTCGGTCTCAGCAAAACGCCCAAGCACCTAATGCCTTTCACTCCGATATCTATGCCACCGGTACCGAATATGCGTTGTGCCAGGCAATCGCTCAATTGATGAGTGCGGTTGTCGGGGTACTGAATGAAAGCTTGACAGAAAGTATCAAAGCATTCTACCGGCTGAGAAAGGCTTATATCGCACTGGACGCTATCATGAAGATGGAAGAAAAGTTTATGGAGCAGAGGGATATACGCAAAGCTCTATTGCCCACTGCAATTGATCTCTCAAGCTCGAGCGCTGCATGCCCAGACACAAAGTCGGATTCGTCCAGTCTTACATCGAAAAAAGGCGCAAGTGTGGCTGCCGTCGAGCAAACTGAGCTCAGTTCATCAATGAATGGGTTGGCAATCTCTCCCCGAGCGGTATCTCCAGATGTGGCAACGGCCACTTCGACACCTGTAAAGCATATCCACCACGATCCTGACTCGGACATCTTCAAAAACGAAATCGATATTTTTGTGCACTCTGGTGCCAACTTCTGTTTTGGCATTCTTCTTCTACTTATATCCATGGTTCCACCGGCATTCAGCAAGCTTCTTTCCATTATTGGCTTCCACGGCGACAAGCAACGAGGGCTGAGAATGCTCTGGCAAGCTAGCAAGTTCCACAACTTTATCGGTGCCATGGCTGCTTTGGCACTACTAGGATATTACAACGGCTTTGTCCGCTACTGTGATATTATGCCCGACCCAACTCCTGGCGAAGCCGACGTTGAGGGATACCCGCAGGAGAGGCTGGCTGCATTGCTGGCGGAGATGCGGTCTCGGTTCCCCAACAGTCAACTTTGGCTGATCGAAGAATCGCGGATGCTAGGCGCGAATAAGGACCTGGGCAAGGCCCTGGAACTACTGTCCACGGACAAAAAGAGCCCTCTCAAGCAGGTCGAGGCGCTGTGCGTGTTCGAAAAGAGCTTGAACGCACTGTTCCTCCACAGATATGATATCTGCGCTGAGGCATTCATCGAAGTAAGGTTTGTTCTATAGAGATTTTTCAACCATCAAGCTAATCCTTTTCAGTGTGTGGGCCTTAACTCGTGGTCTCGTTCGTTATATTACTACATCGCCGGATCGTGCCATGTTGCCCTGTTTCGGCAATCTCTCCATGACCCCAAACTTGCAGAGAAACACGCCAAGAAAGCCACTGTATATATGCGGAAGGCACCCGAATTCGCTGGGAAAAAGAAATTTATGGCCCGACAACTACCATTTGATGTCTTTGTGACTCGGAAACTAGCCAAATGGGAGGCGCGCGCCAAAGAATGGAAGGTGTCTCTGGTGGATGCGATTGGAGTTGATCCTATCGAAGAAATGATCTTCTTCTGGAACGGACATAGTCGTATGACCAGCGAGCAGCTAGAAGAGTCCCTAGATCGTCTGAAATGGTGTGAAAGCGAACACAACAAGACTTGGTCTCGTGAGGGGATTGAAGAAAAGGCGATCTTGGAGCTTCTTCGGGCTGCCATTTTGCGATCACTGCACAGACACGACGAGGCGAAAAATATCCTGCAGACTCGCGTCTTGAGCCACGACAAGTCTTTCTTTAAGGGCCACCTAAAGGATGACTGGGTCCACCCAGTGGCGCATTTCGAGATGGCCGCCAACTTCTGGATGGAGCGCCCCACATACCAGGCCCTGCATGGGATTACTGCTTCCCCCAAGGCGTCGGACGAAGCGTCGGTGGGATCTGGGAAGACACGCTCAGAGACCGAGAGAAAGCAGGTATCCAAGTGCAAGGAAAACCTCGATCATGCTGCTCGCTGGGACAGCTACGAGCTCGACGCTCGTGTAGGACTCAAGGTTACTGCGGCGATGGAAGCGGTCCATAAATGGGAGGCTATGCATCCTACCATCTAATGGCGATTATTATGTTTCAATCCCTGCGCACGTCTCTGTTTATACTTGCCCTGGATGCCTTTTCTAGCATACACGTATAGAGTACAAGTAGATGTTAGTGTTCCATGTTTAACGAAGTTCATTTAGGTCTTTTTCAGGTCTATACATTCTTTTTCCTTTTCCTCTTGTCTGAGCCCGATCTTGTATGACATACAAGACTAGGATAACTGAATTATTCAACCTCCACCCTTCTTGTACCCACAACTTCCGATTGACAAGGTATGCGCCAATGTTTTCCAGCCTTTGAATTTCATTGGCTCCGACAGACCCAACCGGAGTCGGTCCGATGGCACTTCGGCCCCAACCCCACCAAAGCCGAGCTCTCATGTCCCCATCCAGCCATGGACTGGAGCCATAGGCCTCGGTGCTTCAATGGTGATGCCGATTGAATCCCCCCCCCCCCAGAAAAAGGTAACGCGGCATGGCAGGTACCAGGTTTCGGATCACACGGCCTTTGCCATCGGACGTCCGACCAAAATCGAATAGGACCAACTCCGTTTCCCATCTCAGCCTTACAGTAAATCTCCGCTTGAGACATCTTCCGTCATACCCACTTCTTATCTCCGAGACATATTTTTCCCACATTTATGTTGTACACCGTAACTTTGTCTACTTCACATATCTTGTTTCCCTTCTACACCAGCTCGAGTGGTCTTGCGATACGGCCAACGACTTATGTGTGAGAATGGTCGAACGTACAGAACATGACTCTTGCACCAGCAAATCTAGCGATGTTGAAGACATTGAACCGCGTCGCAGTGACGACGGAGCGGATGAAATCACAACGTTAGAAAAGCAAAGCACTGCGGCATCAGGTTATTCGGCCTTTGAACAGCGCACGCAGTCAATAGTCTCTCGCATTCGGAGTCGAGAGCCTGGCCAAACAGCGAAATTCAGTCACCCACTTACCCACACCAAGACAAGTCCTGATGTGATTGTCGATTTTGAAGGGCCGGATGATCCCTATAGACCATTGAACTGGAGTTTCAGAAAGAAGGCCATCACCACGGTGTTGTATGGATTGACTACGATGGGTACGTGCGCTGTCCGCCATGTCGGGAATGCCGCTAATCGATTTCAATTGCAGGATCAACGTGGGCGAGTTCAATGTGAGTCCATTTTTGTTTGCTGCACGGTGTATAGATCATGAAGCTAACTACAACATCAGCTACTCGACCGGACAGGCAGAGATTAGCGAGGAATTCGGCATCTCGAGTGAGGTCGCAACTCTCGGCACCTCATTACTTTTGTTCGGCTTGGGATTGGGCCCTTTGATCTGGGCGCCTCTGTCTGAACTCTATGGACGCAAAACGGCAGTTCTACCACCATATTTCCTCGCAGCTATCTTTTCGTTTGCGACTGCCACCGCGAAAGACGTGCAGACTATCATGATCACTAGATTCTTTACGGGCTTTTTTGGCGCGGCCCCGGTTACCAATACCGGCGGAGTGCTGAGTGATATCTGGACTCCCGCGCAGCGTGGAGCTGCCATTGTAGGCTATGCCATGGCCGTAGTGGGCGGGCCTGTCATTGGGCCGATTGCGGGTGGTGCCATCGTCCAGAGCAATCTGGGATGGCGCTGGACTGAATATGTGAGTCTTCTTCCATGCGGGAGGCTGAAATTGAGACCAACCTAATACCTACCAGATCACCGGCATCATGATGATTTTCTTCCTAATCATGGACCTCCTCTTCGTCGACGAGAGCTACCCACCAATTCTGCTAGTGTACAAGGCACAGCGACTGCGCTTCGAAAGCGGCAACTGGGCCCTCCATGCACGCCACGAAGAGTGGGATGTGACCCTTAAAGAAATAGGCAACAAATACCTCATCCGTCCCTTCCAACTCCTCTCAACCCCAATCTGCTTCCTCGTCGCCCTCTACGCATCATTTGTCTACGGCATCCTCTATCTCAGCCTGGCTGCCTTCCCAATCGTCTTCCAGGAAATCCGCGGCTGGAACCAAGTCGTCGGTGCCCTCCCCTTCCTCGCCTACTTAGTCGGCATTCTAATGGGCGGAGGAATAAATCTCGCCAACCAGAAATTCTACATAAAGCGCTTCAAGGCGAACAATAATCGCCCCGTGCCAGAAGCTCGTCTCCCGCCCATGATGATCGGCTCCGTGCTCTTCGCGAGCGGTATGTTCGTCTTCGGTTGGACTAGTCCAAAACACATCCACTGGATCTGCCCCAACATCGGCGCAGTCATGATGGGCTTTGGTTTCTTCACCATCTTCCAGGCCGCTATCAACTACCTCATTGATACGTTCCAAAAATTCTCTGCTAGCGCGATCGCTGCAAACACTTTCCTGCGCTCAATATTCGCGGGCTGTTTCCCACTCTTCACAAAAGCCATGTTCCATAACCTTGGTGTTCCTTGGGCTGCTAGCCTGTTGGGCTTCATTTCCATTGCTCTCATCCCCATTCCATATCTGTTCTACAAGTTTGGGAAGCGGATCCGAGCGCGTGGGACGTGGTCACGAGACTCTGTTTAGATTTCTGCGAAATTGATGCTGTTGATGGCTCTTTATACATGTTTCGCTGTTTAATACTAACTGGGTTGTGCGCACATCGAATCACAGCCCGGTTGCTGGCTGTGGCATGCACATCCTTCGCATATAATACCCTCCGAGTTCTATTTCTCATTGACTGACATTTTCTACAAGCCTGTGATGTCAGGACGTGGTCTGCAAGTTTTACTTTGTTACTTTTCTACGAGGTGAATAAAATTCAATAGACAAGTTTCCGCGTATTAGAGTATAACAAAGAAGTAGTAGCACAAAATTGGCAGAGTAAACAGGAAGAGAACTGTAAGGAGAGAGAAAATAGTCAGTCAAGACGATTGAATATCGCATGTAGCCAATCCAGAAATCAAAAGACCAAAACCACAAAATCCAATGAAGACATTCAGAATACAAAACGTGCAACATGAAAATAGAGATGTAGGAAATGAGCATGCAAACAGACGTTTCTGGGTATTTTCTGGGGGGGGGGTTGCAACTTGAGATCCACAACTTGTTTTGCTATTTTGTTTTTCTTCGCGGAGACGTTATCAAGCACGAGCAGTGATTGTGTTTCGTCCAGTCAGCTTTCGTGCTATGGTCATGGCCTTCGACCATGTCTTCTTCTTTTCGATGCGAGCGACAGGATCAGGCGATGCAGCACCAGTAGCAAGAGACTCGTTTGGAATTTCATCTTGGTGCTTGGCGTTGTGCAAAGCCAGCACGGCCATTTGGCCCAGGAAAGAGGGATGTTCGATTAGATCCTCGAGACGGACCTTGAGACCCTCTTGCTCAAGAAGCCAGGTAAGCTGGGCCAGATGGAAGACGTCACCGCCGAGGTCAAAGAATGATGAGTCCAACTGGAAGTTGGGTTGGGTGGCTGGCTTTTCATCAGTGTCTGGGTCAACGGAAGCTATGGCAGTGCGGCTTGGTAGGACTCGGTGCCACGAATGAGACAGAATGTCCGAGTGTACAAGCAGCTCTGCAATTGAGCGCGACTTGAGGTGTGCGCTGAGGAAGTGTTCGTCTGATGGTCGAGACAGGTCGTCGATTGTCTGTAAAGGTAGAGAGCGTAGCATGCTAGCGGAGGGTAGCGAGGCGGTTGGATTGGCAACGAGCGATTGGGCAATCTCACAGGCCATGTCGAGCACCTTAGATGCAAAGAATGGCATCACAGGTCCTTTTTCGGAGTACCCGAGGGTGACATCGAGGCCACGTTCACCAGAGGGGCGCGACACCATGGTGAGATCGGCGAGGTTGTCATTGACACCGACACCACCCATGCGATACTTGTTGTTGTCGAGCTCCATGGTTCCCTCGTAGTCGACATTCTGGTGGAAGACGGAGGTGGTAAAGTAGGTCCAGTCGGGCCAATCGGTACATTGCTTGATGATCTCGCGGAAGCCGAGAGATTCGAAAGGCATGTTGGAGACCTGCTGGTCTTGGAGGTAGCGGAAGAGATCGACACCGGTCCATTTCTCGTCGAGCTTGACACGCACGGGGATGACATTAACGCAAGGCCCAACGGTGCTCTCAATACCGGGCACTGTGGCGTTGCGACCGCTGATGGTCAGACCAAAGACAACATCGGATTGGGCGGACAGCTTGGCAAGGGCCAAGGCCCAAGCAGCCTGCATGACAGTTGCGATAGTCACATTTCCGAGGGCAGTGGGTGAGATCTCAATCTTTCTGTGAATCTCGGTGAATGCTCCGACATTCTGGAACATGCTGGTACCCTTTCTGCGGACGACTTGGGTCATTTGAGAACCTTTGAGAAGATCGGTCCAGTGGCGGTAATGGTCTGGGGTGATTGTTCCCGGCAACTGTCGCAGGTAGCCAGCGAATGGAGTAGCCGGTGGCAACGGAGTGCCTTCATATCCGTGCTTAATGGCTGACATGATCTTGGGCAAACAAACTCCATCGTACTGAGTGTGAGAAAGGCGAATCAAGATGCGGTGTTGGTCACTGCCTTTCTTCTTGACAACATAGAACTGCACGTACTGCTCGCCTTCTCGAGATCCGTATTCACGATCTCTCTGCTGAAGGGTCATGGTGAATTCATCAAGGGCACGGTCGGTCTCATAAACAAATATGCTGGGGCGAATCTTACGCAGCACGACCTGGAAGAACTGGTCATGGAAGCATACAAAGACTGTGCGCAGAATATCAAAAGCAGCCACAACCTTCAAGCAACTCTCGCGAAGGCGTCTGAGGTCCAGGGAACCATTGCCCTCAAGATAAAAGTAATTAAGCATCCATCGGGACTTGAAGAGGGTTGCCGTCAGAGACATCGCCTGGAAGTCAGTGACAGGGAGAACATCGGCAATGCCACCCTTGAAGACACCAATCTTGGGACAGATGCCGCTCTGGACCGCAGCATCGTCGACACACGATGGCCTGAGATACTCAAGGCTCTCAGTTGAGGGGCTGGGACCCAGTTCAGTAGGCGTGATATTGAGCAAGTCACTATCAACCTCCTTGTGGGCGCCAGACTTGAGATCAACATTCAAAATTTGCTGGGTGACATTCGCAGCTCGCACTGTTGTCAGCATATCCTCGAAGACAGGATTGTTGAAGACATCTGCAACAGTAAGGACCAAGCCCTCTTCGCGAGCGGCACTGACCATTTTCATGGCGGTGATGCTGTCACCGCCCAACTTGAAGAAGCTTTCCTGATGCCTCACCACGTTGGGTGAAAGACCAAGGGCTGTGCTCCAAAGATTCCACAATTTCCTTTCCATATCGGCCGACATCCCATCCTCACTAGAACAGGAAGTTGCCGAACAAACACCCGAATCATCTGCTTCCTGCACACCTAACTGGTACGGCGAGTCGGGTACGGTGTCAGTGTGACCGCCATAGCTTGACAACCCTTCCGTACTAATGGGAGGCACGGTCAGTTTTCCTTCTCTCAACATCTGACCAATGATCTCATGAACACGATCATCAATTATCTTCTGAATAGCACAACTGTCAATCGCATCTCCGGTCGACTTTGCCTTGTCAGCCAGCGTGGTTTGGGAGCGATCCCAATCCAATAACTCGGGCTCAGCCGCTGCAGAGAACGTAGACTGCGACAAAGTCGCAGCCGGGGATTCAATGAATCCAGAGAAAACTTTGGCGATAGTTTCAGCAAGGGATTGAGCCTGTTCGTCAGACACAACATCGTTCCAGTATCTCAAAAGAATCCCCTCCTGGCCTCGGGCAATCTCAACATTCACAGTAACCGCATACTGGATTCAGTTAGTGGTAGTTAAAATAACTCAATGCAAGGATCGGCAATTACCTCGCTAGGATCATGTGCGTGCTGAAGATCGAAAGACAACCCCTTTTCCTTAGCACCACCTGCAACAGAGTGGTTTTGAATTGACAATGTAGTATTAAAGAGGGACTGTCCCTGCCAACCAAGCTCATGCTGAATGCTTGCCAGAGAGCAGCTTTGGTGCGGAATACATCGAATGTAATCATCTTGAACATTCTTAGACACATCAGTTAGGGTCTGCTGGTCAGAGAACTGGACTCGACAGCAAAGCATATTAATAAAGATTCCGACCATGTCTTGAATGCCATTGACAGGGGCATCGCGACCGGCAGAAAGATACCCAAAACAAACGTCATCGGAGCCAGTGAACTGTCGCAGGACGATGGCCCAGGCGGATAGGGTCAAGTTGGCGAGAGTCACAGAGCTGCACTCGCAGAACTTGAGTAGCTCGGGGAATCGTTGGAAGTTCATCATGACACCCTTTAGTTCTCTCTTAGCTTCGAAAACAGCCGATTGAGCGAGGTGACATGGGTGAACTCCATCGAGGTATCGCTTCCAGTGAATAAGAGCATCACTCTGACTCTGAGTTCTGATGAACTTGATGTAGTCGCTGAAGAGAGGGCCTGAACCCTCGGAAATCTTTCTCTCGTACGCGAGAGTGAGATCACGAAGGATTACATCCACTGAGCCACCATCAATGATGGCATGGTTGATCTCAAGCTTGAGAACCACACGTCCGGTATTTGTTTTGCAGACAGTAAGTTGGTGGGAAAGTTTTGATTGGCGCATCGCGTTTCTGTCACGAAGAGAGATGGCAGCAAGCTTTTCTTCAACCTGTGCATTTTCGCATTCCACGCGGAGAATATTATCAGAAATTTTGTTCAGTACTAGTTGATCGAAGGATCCACCAGTGTAATTACTGTCAACGAAGATGGTTCTTAGTACTGGGTGACGGTCAACAAGGACTTGCCAGGCGCGAGCAACTCCTTCGGCATCGACCTTTCCAGATTTTGTATCCTTGATTTCAAACACGGTGTGAAACATGTAGGCATTAGGATCGCGGAGCTGGCTGAGCAGGAGGCCCTCCTGCATGGGAGAACAGGGATAGATGTCCTCGACATCATCCTTGTTCCGAATGCCAGCCTTGCGGAAGGTGCTGGCTGTGAGCATCTGGAGACCGTGGTAGTTGATAGGAAGGAGGGGGTAATCGCTGAGAGTGGGCTCGGGAGTAGCAGTTTTCAGTGTGAGGAGATCCTTTTCGAGGGTCTGCTTACACTGGGCAATCCAGCGGCGAATTGAGCCCCCGTGCTGCATTTGGCTGTTGTAAGTGAAAGCAACGTTGAGACGGTCTTTGATGACAATTGCAGATACTTCGAAGAGAGCGAACCGAGCAGTCTTGGGGCCCATATCACCTGCGACAGCAAAGTCAGAGCTATCAAAGACGCTACCGTGGTGATGGAACAATGAGTCGTCCCGCTCAAGTTGCTGCATTTTACCCAGGTAGTTGAACAGGATTTCCAACGGGACAGGGAAATCTGCAGCCTGGTCATGAAGCAGGCTTTTTGCGAAGTAAGGACGTCCATTGTCTGCGGTCTTGCGTCTGATATCCTTGACACGCTTAATAATTTCGTTGAGGGCACCTTTTCTTGTCAGCATTCGTATCGGCGGGATGAGTCAAGGCGAACTTACGAGCTTCCGAGTCCACTAATAAAGGCGCCATTGTGGTAAACCAGCCAACTGTTCTAGAAAGATCAATTTCGGCCTCCCAAGGTTCTCTACCATGTCCTTCGTTATAAATAGTCGGCACCTTGCGATCAGTGAAGGTGCGACCGAAGGAATGAATAATAGCAGACAGCAAGATGTCAACAGTATCAGTTCGGAAGACATTGTGGCAGCCATCCAGGATAAATTGAGTGGTATCTTCGCTCAACGAGAAGGATTCCATCTTGATGTCACCGTAAACATTTAGAGACTCTTGCATGCCCCAGTAAAGCAAGTTCGGCTTCTCGATGGTGAAAGGCAGGGAGATAGTCGAATCGTGCGTCTTGGCTCGCTCAGTTTGCATGGCACACCAGCTTTGGAAGGATAATGGCTTTTCGAGTGAAAGAGATCCAGAGACAACGAGCTCTTCAAGGTCCTGGAGCACAATGCGCCAGGATACCATGTCGATGCAAAGATGGTGAGCGACAAGGAATAGGACCTGACCACCGGTGCGAAGGTTAAAGAGGTCGGCTGCTAGGATAGGTCCATTGAGAGGATCCAGACATGTCTGACTGTCAGCGATCTTCGGAACCATAGCCCGGTTATCGCCCACGGAGTGAACGCGGAATCGGAAAGATTCATCGACCTCCTGCATCATAAAGTTAGACAATATTAGATAACTCCTTTGCAGTGAGCTTACCGCTGCAGTTTTCTGTTGCCAGGTGCCATCACTAGATTTGCTGAAGCGTGCGCGGAACATGGCATGCTGGCTGACAACAGCCTTGAGAGCGCGTTTTAGTACCTCGCCCTCACAACGGCGAACGATGCGAACAGTAATGCTCTGGTTGAAACGCGCGGTGCCCTTGAAAGAGTCGGAGCTCTGGAAGTAGAGAAGCTGGACAGGCGAAAGCGTAAAGCCTTCGCCGGACTTCTCTTCGCGCCGAGCAACAGGCACCTTGGAACTAACGGTTTGAGCAAGTTCCTTCACCGATCTGCTCTGCAAAATGTCGTGTAGTGTCAGAACAAGTCCTTGCTTGCGAGCGCGAGAAATGACAGCCATTCCAGTAATACTGTCCCCGCCTGCGAGAACGGGTTAGCATGTTCACCATTTCGAGAAGATTGAATACTCACCCAAGCTGACAAAAGAGCGGTCGACATTGACTTTCTGAAGGGAGATATTCAACACCTGTGCAAAGATGTCGCGGACAGTATCGAGCGATCCGTTCTTCTCCTGCTTTTCTTGTCGCTTCTCTTGGGTCTTGCCACGCTTGATACGATCGTAATCAGCCATGATACGGTCATAAGACACATCATCAATATCCTCAACCCAAGCGGTGATCTTCTTGCGGTCGAGCTTTCCAGAAACGAGCATAGGAAGCTTCTTGATGAGAGCCCAAGTCTGCGGGACCATGTAAATGGGCAGCTGGTTCTCAAGGTTCGTCTGGACCTCGACTAGCTCGTTGTAAGCATGACGCTCAAGCTCATCCTCATCAACAAGCTCGCAGGGCTTATCGGAAATCAACTTTGTATCGGCTGCGACACTATTCAAAGACAGAACTGTAACCAGCCGCTGCTTAAGCGGGCCATTCTTTGGGAGAACAACGACAGCGTGGCGAGTTAGGGCATCCTCAGAAAGGCGATGCTCGATCTCACCAAGCTCCATACGCTGACCATGCAGCTTGACTTGGTGATCCTTCCGGCTGATGTACTGCACAGAGCCATCAGGGTTGTAGTAGCAGAGATCACCAGTCTTGTAGATTCGGCGAGGACCTAAGACCGTGGGCGCGAAGTCCTTAATCCAGGCAGGGTCTGTGGTGAATGCTTCTGCATTCTTCTCGGGGTTTTTGAGGTACTCCCTGGCCAAGGGAGCGCCTTCGAGTGCAAGTTCACCGACTGCACCCAGGGGAGTCAGCCGATCGTGGTTGTCTGGGTCAACAATCCAGGTGAGAGTGCTGGGAATACCATAACCGATACGCCCGGGATCACGATTCGTGGCGACTGCATTATCGACCACAGCGAAGACACAGGTCTCGGTGGGTCCGTATCCGTTCATGAGGTGAACTGAGTTGGCCCACTTCGTGATGACCTCATTTGACATCTTCTCGCCACCGCAAACAAGGTGCTTCAGGGAAGGCACCGAAGATGGCTCGATGATGCTTGCAATCGAGGGGGTGAGGAAAGTCCAAGTGACATTTAGGCGCCGGATTGCACCGGCAACGTCGTTGAGACGATCATCCTCGCTAGGCACGCAGATAGTACCTCCGAGCATTAGAATTGCAATAGTCTCCATGACAGCAGCGTCGAAAGTCAAGGAGGCAAATTGGAATACTCTCGAAGTCTCATCCATGCGAACCCACGGCGCGAATGCCATGATGCTGCTGACGACGTTACGGTGTTCGACAATGATTCCCTTGGCTCGACCGGTGCTACCAGAGGTAAATAGAGCATAGGCCATGTTGGAGGGTTTGATTTGAGTCTGGCGACGGGCAGATGACTTAAGGGCGCCATATGCTTTGATAGTCTCCTTGCTGATGGGGACAACCGTCTTCACAACTCGGCTGTAACGGTTTGCATAGTTTGGGGTGCACAGTATCATGGTGGCACCGACATCGGCAAGAATTTCCTCGTGTCGCGAGGTAGGGTGAGAGGGGTCCAAAGGCACGTACCCACCACCAGCGATGAGAACACTTATGAGGGTGACCATTGCCCAAGCTGACTTGTCCAAACATACTGGAACAAATACCTCTGGGCCAACTCCACGAGAGACAAGGTAGTTGGCGAAGCCAGATGCAAGGTCCCAAAATTCTTTAAAGGTGAGATCACCATCCCAGGCACAGACAGCCTGGGCGTTTGGAGTCTCGTCACACTTCTCACGAATAATATCATGAACAGTCCGTTCCACGGTGAGCGGTGTACGTTGGTTCCATGTTCCAATTTCAGCCTTGTCTTCGGGACTGATGACTTCCAAGTCTCCGAGCTTGCTCATGCTGTTCTTGGGCATGGCGATCAATTGTTGCAGAACATGAGCAAACTGTGCAGTGATGCGCTTAGTCTGCCATCCGTTTATGACAAGCTCATCATGGTGGACAGTGAAGGAAATGTTAGTCTTAGTAACACCGCATTCCACAACAAGGGGGTGAGTGAAGAAGTCTTCGCTCGTTTCACGTTTCTCGTCGATCCAGATCTTGTTGTCAAGCTCACCATCACCAGGCTGAATTACAAGCAGGTTCTTGAAATCGCAGCCTGTGGCGGTATTCTTGTTCAGCTGCCGGATACGTTGAAGACCAGAATGCAAGTGGGGGATCATCTCGGTAGTAGACTGGTGGATCTTCTGCAGGTACTCCATAGTTGACATGGCATTATCAACTTGGACACGGGTGGGGACTGTGGTTAAAACTGGACCAGCAATATCTGCAACACCGGGAAGGTCAATGTTTCTGCCCGACAACGTTTCGCCGAAGCAGACATCACCAGACGCAGTGTGGGTCGCAATAACGATTGCCCACGCAGCGCGCATGAGGACAGGTATCGTAAAGTCGACGCTGTCACGACTTCGGAAAACCCTCATGCTGTGATGCTGCGTGTTGCCAGCACGCATGGCATCAGGTACCGCATTCTTGTTAAGAGGGAAAGCAGTGCTCGACAGGTCGGTTAGATAAGACTTCCAGAAAGAATCAGACTCCTCCATATTCTTCTTCGCCAAGTAGTTGATGAACAAACTGTAAGGCATGCAAGCACGCTTGGTCTGCGAAGCAAAGTAGTTCTCTTCGACCTTGCGGAAAACCAAAGGAATGCTCCAGCCGTCATAAAGGGCGTGATGAACGGACCACACAAAGTAGCTATCAGAGGAGTCAGGGGGCTGCACCATGGCATAACCAGTTAAAGGCGCTCCATTTTGCTTCGGCAGATGAAGGATGTCGTTGGGCAGAGCGTCGAACGACTCAGCTTCGACCCAGGAGATAGGACCATTCTTCAAGATAACTTGCGCAAAGTTCATAGCTTCCGTGTGGACAATACGAGTGCGGAGAATTTCCAGGTCTGCCACGGTTTGTTGCCAGGCCTGCTTAAATCTACCAATATCAATGCCAGGAGCAAGGCGGAACGTGGGTTGAGCAACATAAGCACCGTGATGCTTGATAGAGAGCGTCAGAAGACCCTCCTGAACAGCGCTGCATGGATAGATGTCACTGATAAGGTCCTTGGAAACTTCGCAGTTATCGGTTATTTCATCAATCAAGTCTTCGAGGTTGACTCCAGAGGGCAACAGGGAGAACGCTAAGGTGGTTTCTTTCTTGAGTTCGATAGCTTCAGACACGACACAGCTCTTGGCCATGTCAATCAAGATTGGCGAGTTGAAGATGCTTGAGACGGTGAGTGCAATGCCTTCTGCTTGGGCAGCGCCGACAAGGTTCATCGCGGACAAGGAATCACCACCCAGACCGAAGAAGCTGTCATCGGTGGTCACGGAGCCAACTTCGAGCTCGAGGGTCTTTTCTACAAGAGCCACAAGCTTGGTCTCTAAAGCGGTAGCTGAGGAGACATTTCTTTTGTCGGAGATGTTGAAGGTAATGTAAGACTTAAGGGTATCTTTGGACAAGGTTTGGACCATGGCCCGCAGTCTTCGGCGGTCAATTTTCCCCGAGGAAGTGAAGGGCAAGTTGCGGATAGGGAAGAAGAGTCGGGGCATCATGCTCTGCGGCAGAAGGTCGGGCAGACATCCCTTCAACTTCTGAATGGCATCCATATTCGACACAGAGATGGGCAGTAGGAGGGGATCGGCTCCAGGGATAGTGGGGGCGAATTGATCACTACTGCCCCCGTTGGAATCTGGGTCATGGATGGTGAAGAATGCGGCAAGGCCCTTGGCGATGGTCCGTTCCTCGGGAACAACGACATCGACAGCGACCTGAGAGTCCTCAGGTAGGCAGCTTAGACATTGTTGTTCGATCTCCTCGAGTTCAATGCGCTGGCCATTGAATTTGATCTGAGTGTCTTTCCGAGAGATGAAGGCCAGACTGCCGTCGTTGCTGTAGCGAACGAGATCACCAGTGCGGTACAAGCGGTCGTTGCGCTTGAACACGCCCTGCAAGCCAGGGTGACGGTTCCAAGCAGGTTTCTCGAAGAAAGCTGCCTTGGTCTTTTCCTCGTTCCCAAGGTATCCTCGAGCAATATTGCTTCCTTCGAGAATCAATTCACCGACAGCGCCAACGGGAAGCAAGCGGTCGTAGTTGTTGGGATCGACGATCCAGACTCTGCAATTTGGAGAAGTTCCGATGGATGTGGGATCATTGTTGATGCGGTTGCCATCCCGATCAACCTTGACACCGACTGTGGCAACAACAGTGGCCTCGGAGGGTCCATAGGCGTTGATGACACACCGGTCTGCCCAGCGGTCGATGTGGTTGGCGGGCATCTTCTCGCCTCCCGTGATTATAACCTTGAGGCTAGGAACGTTTTTTGGCTCAAGGGTATTGACGATGGCAGGAGGTGCCGAAATGGAGGTCGCTTCCATACGGCGAATAGCACCACCCAGGTTGTTCATACGTTCCTCTTCGCTGGGGATACAGATACAACCACCAGTAATAAGAATCATCAAAATCTCCATTACACTGACGTCGAAAGTGTAGTTAGAGAACTGCAAAGCACGGGTAGTGGAGTTCAGGTGGAGGGCATCGATCAAAGCGATCGCTGTGGTGACAAGGCCAGTATGCTCGACAACAGTTGCCTTCGGCTTTCCAGTAGTACCAGATGTAAAAATAGCGTATGCAGCATTTTCCGGCGTAGGGCGAACTCCAGGCAAAGCCAGGGGCGAGTCAGAAAGTTGGGAGATTGAGATTTGGCAGACAGCAAACGATTTTGCGCAGAGCGTCGAGATTTTTGCGTGGATTGAAGATGAGCACAAGACAAGATTGGTGTCAATTTCATCAATGAGCATCTTCAGTCGCGAATCAGGATGGGATGGGTCAATCGAGACGAAAGCTCCACCCGCCTTGAGAACAGCCAGTTGGGCAACAACAGCCCAAGCTGACTTTTCGAAGCACAGCACGACGAATGCTTCAGGCTTGATTCCAAGATAGGAGAGATGGCGGGCCAAGCGACTGGAGACAATCTCAAGCTGTCCGTAAGTGAAATTCTTGTCCCAAGAGCAGATGGCTTCTGCACGAGGGTGAAGAAGCGCCTGCTGCTGAATGAGCTCGTCGGCGCACTTTTCCAATCTAGGAGGTGATGCGGCATTCCAGTCGCAGATTTGACGAGCTGAGCGCTCGGTGAATACATTGATATCTCCGATCGTACGGTCATTGAGGTTGTGAGCGATCAGATCGTCCAAAACTTGGTCGAACATGTCCATGACATGATTGACCAGGAAGGAGGAAAGAGTTTCTGAGGAGTAGTTGAAGTGAATCTGTGCGTGTGAATGAGAGACTTCGGCTTCAACCAAGATCTTATAAGAACTAGAGCTGGATGGTTCGCGGTTAATTCCTTTTGAGGGATTGGAAGCCGTGCGATAAATCATGGAGGTGTTGAAGAGTGCTGTATTATCGAGCCCAAGCTGGTCTTTTACGGCGTCCAATGCAGCGATATTCAATGCAATTTTCTCGGAGTCTTTCTTTGCGTTCTCAAGAGTGTCTTGCACCTTCCGGTCGTTCTGCACAAGGAAGCGGCAGGTGGCAACGCCTTCGGCCTCCACTTTCGTCTCTGAGGGTGAGGTGGAATACCCAAAGCACACATCGTCAGAGCCAACGTACCACCGGAGCACGAGGGCCCAGGCAAACTGGAAGAGAATTTCTGCAGGGAGACCAGATAATCTGCTGAAAGCGTGGATGCTGGCTGTCTGCTTATTGAGAGTGCGGGTAGATCGGCAATTGTCGCTTGCCTCGTGGGAAAGCGCCGGGAAGACACAGGGCTCAACATCAGCGAGGTACTCCTTCCAGAAAGCAACGTTGGCCTCAGAGAGACTTGCATGACGTGAAAGATGTTTACCAGTCTTGGTTCCGTTCCAGCGTTTGATTTCAAAGGCTTCGAGTGCACTACTCGAAAGCGCTCGTGTTTCGGTTCTGAGGGCCTGGCGGTTTAGCTTTCCAGAGAAGGTCAAAGGGAGGGAGGAAACGGGGATGTAGAAACTTGGGACCTTGCTACCAGGAAGACTGGTGCTCAGATTGATGTGCAGGCTAGAGATAGTGTCTGTCAGTTGAGGTGTCGTGGACTGGAGGACACAATCTCCGAAAGTCACCGGGCTGGTGTTCGACGAAACCACGAAGGCAACAAGAGCTTCTATGTTCACATTTTCGCGTTGCAGCTGGACACTCTCCACAACGCACTTCTTCTTGTGGTCCAGGAAGGAGTCAATGCGCGCCTGGGTCTGAGTAAGATTGCTAGCTAAGGCACATGCATGCCTATCGTTCTTTCGACCGACGAAAACTAGAGAGCCGTTGGATTTGTACCTCACAAGATCTCCGGTCTTGAACATGCGGTGCTTGGCACCTTCTCGTTGGACAGAAAGCCAGGAAGGGTTGTTAATAAAGGCATCGCTCTCTCCGGACTGGTTGTCGAGATAGCCCCGGGCAAGAACAGGCCCCTCGAGCACTAATTCTCCGACGCTGCCGATCGGGACAAGGCGATTGTGGTTGGAAGGGTCCACAACCCATGAGACGCAAGACGTGCTCTTTCCAATAAGGGCAGCCTCGTTTTCATCCTGAGAACAAAACACAAGGAAGGAGGCAGCCGAGCTCTCACTTGTTCCATACAAAACCTGCAATTGGAGATCGTCGGTCTGCCAGTGGTCGAGAACATTCTGAGAAACTACTTCACCACCCAGGGCAATTGACCTCAATCCCGGAACATCTTTGGGGAAGAAGTAGCTAGCGGCTGTTGGGGTGATGCTGGCAACATTGACGTGGAATGCATTCATAGAGGCTGCTAAGCTGATGGGGTCAATATCAGCAGGAACGCAAATACAACCGCCCCACATGAAAGTGGCGAATAGCTCGACGACATATGCATCGGATGTGTGCGGCGCGAACTGCAGAGTCCTGGAGACATCAGCGATTGCCATGGTGGTAGCAAATGCCTCAGCGCGCGTCATGACAGTTGAATGGTCGAGGACGACACTCTTCGCGGCGCCAGAGGTGCCAGCAGTCATAGCGACATAGGCGATGTCGGATGGTTGGGCCACGGGGTTGAGGATTTCGTCGCCGAGGTACTCGAGAAGAGACTCGCTTACGGGGATGACATATGGAACGGCATCCTCAAGAGCCCGAGCCTTCTCCGGGGAAGCCAGAGCGACTTGCACGGCGTTTTCCATGATCCACTTCTCAACAAGAGCCAGACTCTCCGGTGTGTCAACTGGAATACAAGCACCACCGGCTTTCATGACTGCCAATGTGGAGACAATGTTCCACACAGACTTCTCGAAACAAACGGGAATGATGGCGTTAGGGCCGACACCGAAGGTAACAAGATAGCTTGCCAAACGAGAAGAGAATTGATCTAACTTGGAGTAAGTCAAGTTCCCATCCCAGGCAGTGACAGCCAACGCATCAGGGCGCTTCTTAGCGATTTCTTGGACAACGTGATGTGCGCACTTCTCAAACGGCTTCGGGGTCTTGCAGTTCCACGCCATGATCTGGGCTCGGTTTTCTTCGCTCAGGTTGTCCAGCTGGCGAATTTCACCATCAATGTTCGACACCATATTCTCAAGACAACGAAGATAAGTATTGGCAACATTAGCAGCCTGTGAGTCAGATAGATTGGTAGTCCAGTAGTTAAGATCGATGCGAGCGTAAGTGTCCATGGCCTCGATGTTGATGAAAACCGGGAATTCAGCGGGATCGTGGATTGACCCAACCTCAACGCACTCTATGTCGCTGCTAGTAGCATCCTTAGAACTGGAAAGACGGCGGTAGGAGACACCAGAGTTGAACAAATTGGTGTCGGAGAGCTTCAAAGCATGCTGAATATCAATAAGTGAAGTGTGTCGGTAAGGAAGGCTCTCCAAGTAGTCATTCTGAACTTTATGTAAGACATCGCTGAGCTTCGCATCATCAGCCACCTTCATACGGCAGACCAGAAGGTTAATGACCGGTCCAATGACCCACTGTACGCCCTCAGCAGGCACATCACGCAGCGACGCCATGTAGCTGAAGGATACATCGTCACAACCACAGAAAGCGCGGAGAGTGAGGCCCCACGCGGCATTGAAGACATTTGCGAGAGTAATTCCACGCTTATCACAAACAGTTTGGAGCTCGTTGAGGGCACCGAAGTTCACTGGAATGGATCGAAGGACCTTGACCGTTTGGTGCCCGTCAGTGAGGGCGGGAAAGTGGCACGGCTTAGCCTGATTCAAGTACGAGCACCAGTACTTTATGCTGGCTTCTTTCGGCGTATCCTGCAGATACTCCATATAATCCTTGAACAGAGGCTTTTGTCTTTCCTCGAGTCTGCTAGCGTATGCGAGCTGCAAATCACGGAGTATGATTGAGATCGAGTTACCATCCATCGCAGCATGACTCATCTCAATGCGAGCAAAAAGTCTCCCAGTTGGTGTTTGGCAGATGGTGAATCGATGCGCCGGTGAAAAATCGCTGTAATTCTTGGGGTCTTCCATGTCAAATGTGGCGATCACATCGCTTTCCCCTGAAGAATGCAAGATGACAGGAGTAGCATCATAGCTCTTCAGCACGACCTGGCAGAATGGATGCCGAGGAGTGAGATTCTCTACGAAGATGGTTCGGAACATGGCGTGATGAGAAACGACCTGTTCCCATGCATTGACCAGGCGATCAAGGTTCGGCTTGCTAGATCCAGTAGCTTTAATCTCAAAGGTGTCGTGGACAGCATAATAGGAGCTATCACGCTTGCGACCAAGCAGTATCCCCTGCTGCATGCGAGAGCACGGATAAATATCCTCAACAATGTCGACTGACGCGATTCCTATAGCAGGCAACTTCTCATTGAGCAACTTGTCCAGGGTAGGGTAACTCAACGACAACAAGGGGAACGAGCTGAGAGTCAAACGCGGCGCGAGAGTAGGAAGCTGCTCGGCGAGAGTTACGAGCAGCTCTTGGCATCCGGAAACCCATTGATGAATACGGCTCTGATGCTGCATGAACTTGTTGAAGGAAAAGTTGAATCGAACCTTTCCAGCCACAACCATCGCGGAGATCTCGAACAGACCAAATCGGGGAGTATCAGTTCCAAAGTCAGCGGCACCGCCTCCTTGGCCTGCTTCTCCGGCCATCTGATCGACAAGCTGGAACAGACCATCCTGCCTCTGCAAATCTCGATGTTGACCGACGTAGTTGAATGACATCTCAAAGGGGTGAGGGTGCTGGGGCTCTTGGTGGTCCTGTCCTGGCAGAACGCGACTGGAAAAGTCTGCACGACCGTTGTCCGCGACCCGACGACGAAGATCCTTCACCTGCATGAGGGTATCGATTGGGTTGTCTGGTTTGTATGCGGAGACGAAAACTGGATGCAGAATCGTGAACCATCCGACGGTGTGCGAAATGTCAATGGACGAGTCCCATACTTCTCGTCCGTGGCCTTCATTGTAGATGGTAGGGAGAGAGCGATCGGGAAAGGCGTGGCCAAAGGAGTGGAGCATTGCTGCGAGAAAGAGGTCTATTGGCTCGGTAGCAAGAGCTTTGTGACATTCGAGGAGAATGGCATTGGTGTGAGCAGGATCGATCTCAAATGAGGCACAATCCACATTACCATATGTGGTTTGAGTATTCTGAAGGCCCCAGTAACTAAACTCGGCTGCAGGTAGAGTGTCGGTTGCAATTTTATGCTCAGCTCGGAGGGTGTTGCAGTGCTCATTCTGCAGGCGACACCAGGTCTGGAAAGGCAAGGAGCTATCACTGGCTTCTGTTTTCTGGGGATTCAAGATGATGTCTTCCAAATCTTCCAGAATAATTCTCCACGAGACAATATCGACAACCAAGTGGTGGGCTGTCATGGACAATACATTGGGCTGGCCTTTCACCAAGAGATAATCGACAGCAAGCAACGGCCCCGAGAAGCAGTTGATGGATGACTGGCTGTCGGCGACGTGAATCTTGACCTCTTCCATGCTGTCAAGTTTGTGCATCCTCCATCTGTAAGAACCTTTGATATCGCGGGTGATGTGTTGGCTCGACGCCGTGGCAAATCCTGTGTCTGTGAACCGTGCACGGAGCATGGAGTGCCGTGATACCAAAGTTTCGACAGCCTTACGCAGGGATCGTTCGTCGACAGGTTTGTTCAACCGAGTGAGAATTCCTTGGTTGAAGTGGCCTTGGCCCTCCTTCCGTACACCAAAGTGAAGGGTCTGGATAGGCGACAGCCTAAATGGTTCATCCACAGCTTCTTCGTAAGTCATCAGGTGATCGATTGTCTTTGCGCGAGTGGCAAGGTCGCGTATTGATTTGCTGCGAAGCAGCTCCTGCACAGATAGGGAGAACCCTCGTTTCTTGCAGAGACCGATGCATGTCATAGCGGCGATTGAATCACCGCCTAGGGCAAGGAAGCCTTCGTTCAAATCGAGCAGGTTCTGTGGAATGTTGAGGACACGGCTATATACAGCAGCTAGGGCTTCTTCTCTGTCGTTGGCAGGCTGCGAGGCCTCCGTGCCGACGACTCCAATAAAGGCATTGTTCTGAAGATCTGGGTCGTTCTCCATTCCCGCGACCCAAGTAGAAATGCCCTTGCGGTCTAACTTCCCTGATGGCAGAAGTGGCAAAGCTTCGACACACAACCAAACCGGAGGAACCATGTAAGTAGGTAGACGAGCGGACAGGCGCTCTCGGATTTTTGGGACAAGCCCGGCCTTTTTCGAGGCGGAGACGAGTCGCAGAGGCTCCAACTCTGAATCAGGCTGTTCCGCTAGCAAGCCAGTGGAAGAGATGACGGCTGCCAGGCGACCCTTGGAGAAACCAGCCTTGGGGAAAAGGACAGAGCAATGATTGACATTCAAATCTCTGCTGAGCTGATTCTCAATTTCACCGAGCTCAATTCGTTGTCCGTGAACCTTGACCTGCGTATCCTTGCGCCCGATGTAATTAAGGGCACCGGTGTCAGAGTTGTACCTTACAAGATCCCCTGTCTTGTAGAATCTACGGTTAGAGCCACTTTCAGCGTCAAACATGGTCCAAGCAGGGTCAAAAATGAACGATTCGTTTGTCTTCTGAGGATTGTTCACGTAACACCGGGCCAGGGGTGGGCCCTCCAAAAGTAGTTCTCCAGGACAGCCCACAGGAACTAGCTCATCGTGGTTATCAGGGTTCACAAGCCAAGACCTTACACCAATGGGCAGGCCGATATCTTTACAATCGGTGTCAGGTGTAACATTGGAATTCAGCACGGATGCCACACTAGCCTCGGTGGGTCCATAGCCATTGACCAATTTGATTTTAGACCAAGTAGCCAGCTGTGACTGCGACATTGCCTCTCCAGCCAGGACCAAACTCTCCAGTCCTGGCAAACTCTCGATTTCAATAAAGCCGATAAATGAGGGCGTGAAGCAGGCTTGACTGACTCGCATTTCGTTGATGGTGGTCACGATGTCATTGAGGCGAGCTTCTTCACTCGGAATGCACACACATGCACCATGTATGAGCGGCGTTAACGACTCGGCTAAACTGGCATCAAAGGTGTGGGCGGCGAACTGAAGACATCGTGACTCTCGATAAATGTGCAGACCAGGTCCATGCACCATGGCCCCGGACAGGAACGCGCGGTGCTCCAGCAGGGTTCCCTGCGAAACAAGAGTCAGCACTTCCTGCAACAAATTCTGTTTGAGGACAGTAATGAGAGACAAACCTTAGGTTCTCCTGTTGAGCCAGAGGTGAACAAAACATAAGCCGCATTTTGACTAGTGACACCAGATGCAAGAATGAGATTCTCTGCGGGGTCAGACAGAGGATCTAATTGATCAGCACAGACGGGTATGATGTTCTCTGCTATCGGGGCAAGTTTGTTGGAAAGATGCTGCGAGCACAACACAACCGGCGCCTGAACCGATTGGATGAGAGCTTGCAGTCGGGAAGTTGGGTGAGTCGGGTCTAATGGGACGAAGGCTCCGCCGGCTTTCATCACGCCAAGCATTGCGACAATGTTCCATTTCTAGGGAGTCAGAATACACACCTCCATTCTGCAATGTTATTTCATCAAAGATTCCACTCACTGATTTCTCGAAACACAAAGCCACGCGGACTTCCGGCCCTACTCCCAGCATGCGAAGATGGCATGCAAGCTTCGACGCTTGCCGGTCGAGCTCAGCGAACGTTAAACTTCCATCCCACGCACAGACAGCCTCACGATCAGGTCCGCTCAACATTTGATCGTGGATGGCTTCGTGGATGCAGCGATCGTAGAGCTGTGGAGACGTGGAGTTCCACTTGTGGATGCGTTGCCAATCGTTCTCTGAGAACAGATTAAGCTTGCTAATAGCGATGTTCTCAGCAGAAAGAATTTTGGTAAGCAACTGCTCAAAAATGGTGGCGACGCTCTTCATCTGTTCCCCAGACATGTCACCCTTGCGCCATTCAAGAAAAATACTGATGTCTCCACGCAGCACCTTGACATGTAGACGGACTTGACACTGCGCGTTGTTAGCCAAAGTGGTTCTGGATCGGAGCAAATCCAGTCGCAAAAGATGGCGGAGAACTAACCTCGTCTGGAAGAGTTGTTGCCAAGATGGGCTTTGAAGCAGAAGCAGGCTGGTCATATGTTCGCAGCATGAAGATGGTGTTGAAAGGATGATATGCCTCGGAAACGGCCTCCGAGCTTCCATTAACCTGTGGATTCGCACTGTTTGCGCGCACCTTTTCTACAACTTCTGTGAGAGAATCGTTGTCGTTTATCGAAATACGAATCGTCGAAATGTTGACACCGGTCGAACGATGTTCAGATGATTTCGGAGAGCGCGAGTCGCCCTGGAGATGTTGGTAACCGAAGCAAATATCCTCGGAGCGGATGTAGTAATGCAACAAGAGAGCCCAGGTAGCTCGCAAGATTGAGTCCAGGCGGTCTTCGTTCCATGCGGTTAATAACTGCGCATGTTGAGCAGCCGTGGGTCTTGTCTTCATGGAGACTGGGCATTTCGGCCCGTCAACAGTCGACGCGAACCGGGGAAGATAGCACTTGGTGGATTGAGGCATGACGTCTAATGGGTATTATCAAGCTGTCTTCTATGTCTTGTTTCGTGTTTTCCGGTCGGTGGAGTTGGTATGTATGGATCTAACGTATAGAGAATGAGCGACAGTATGAATTCGACAGTGGTGAAGGAGCGCCAGCGAACTTGGACAGTCTCGTCTCATTTTAAAGAACTGCGCACAAGTCTTTTTTTATGAAAAAAAAACGCATTATTTGCTTAACACATCGGAAATAGCTACATCCGGCCGAAGACTGCATGGGCCACACCCTACAAAATCCAGTAATAGATGCGATATTCCTTGCATGGGATGTAGATGAAAGGGAGAGGAAGAGAGACCATACGTGGGTCAGGTGTACTTGGCCCCCCTGTGGAACCAAGTCAGATCAGAGATTGTGCTTCTTTCTTTCTTTTTTTTTTCTGTTTTTTTTTTACTTCCGATGGAATTGCCATGTCGATTTCTGATTTTTTCTATTTTAAACTACCAAGGTAGCCCCTGGAAAAGGCCTAGATTACTCTGACTAGTACCAAAAAGGCATCCATGCAGGGGAATTATGTCTACTCCGTCCTCCGTCTCTCTCTCTCTCTTTGTACTCAGAAGTACTCTTCCAAGCGAGATGCACTTGCCCCGATCAGAAAGACTCATGATCTGGAACGTGGGCATGGCGGTTCAGAGCAAGCCATCAGGGGCTTGAGCCGTTTTGCCTCGAATCAAATTCAGATCTGATGGCGTTATTTCCAATGGGATTCTTTTCCCACCTCGAGCTTACGAGGTTCCTCTGCTGACGTTGCTGACGTTGCTGACGTTGCTGGCCGTTTGTAGCCCGCTGAACGAGCTGGCGATCAATTAGATGTGCCCAGACGGGATACTATACCCTATTTCCCTCACTCCAAACTGCGAGCATAAGCTCTTATATCTCCGGTGCATTGGGGATCGCCACAGCCATAGCCTCGTGAGGCCGTTGTAGTTTGCAATGTACACCGACTGATGCACACATGGCACTAACCCCGGACTGCTTCCTCCACTCTCTCATCTACTGTGGAAGCTCTGCTGGTGGGTGCTCGTGGTAGGGAAATTCAAGAGTCGGGGTCTGCATCAGGAAGCTGTGGCGAGCTAGGACGGGTCGAACGAGCGCAGTCCAGGGACTTCCGCAGCGAAAGTGTACTTTGTATGGCGATCTCGCCCGGTGGTCGCTATGGGAAATGTGATTTGCCGGGATCTGACACAATCATGTCTTAGGTTTGAGGGGATAGGAGGTCATTCAGAAATCAAGAAGAAACTCAATCCCCCGAATGTGGGGGGCCAAACCCCGAGCTGAGGTTATCGCACCCTTCATACTTCGGATCTCCCGGTCGAGAAATCCGAATATACTCCGTACAAGGATCTGGACATGGCTAGCGTCAAAGATATATCCTCGGTTCCAAGTAGAATCCTACTAGATCTTGTACCTCAGGCAGGCTATTGGACATGAGAATCAAATTGGAGCTAGTTGATAGACATTTGGACGAAAGTACGATGTAATCTCCTCCATGATCGGTGATGTGTAAGACAGTAAATACGCCACCGGGGGGCTGATGATCCCTTCTGCAAGGGCCACCAAGGGATGCGGGCATATCCGAACCCGGCGACCTATCCACTGGGCTTGGTAGTGGGATATTGGTAACATCCACTATGCGTTCGATAGTTGAAAAGTTGAGTAGCATTCTAGAAAATAGGTTATGTTCAACGCAAAAGGGGGAAACCTGAGGATCAAGGTATATGCTTCGTATAGTTCCTCTGAGGGTATCCAGTTGCATCAAGAACATGCGTTGTTCATGTGGTGCAGTATGTGCATTGTCTTTTTTTTTTTTCTTTCCTTTCCTTTCCTTCCTCCCGTTTTCTGTTCCTTTCTTTTTCTGGTAAAATTCCCCACTGAAACTTGTCGCTCTCGTATAAGCACGCATCTAGAGCGAGCACTTGTATGTCACTATCCCCACTAGTCAGGTTGTTAAGCTAGGTGCATGGACGATGTACCTAATGTACCTATTAGGAGAAAGGATCCTCATGGATCCACATGGAAAAGGCCGGGATTACAGGTAGGCTTAGGCATCCAAAGAGTTACTCGGTACAGACTAGTTGACACTTCTGACGGGCTTGCTTAGCACCCGCAATTCAGGGTCGGTTATAAACTAGTGACAGTGTGGACACTTTACAGGTTGATCTCAATGCAGATCACCGGATAGATCACTTTCGAAAGTTTGCCACGCTGGAGCCCAAACAGCTACGAAAAGGAATCCCTATTTTTAAATCGGTACATAGACACAAAGGAGCATCAAATCGAAAAGAAAAAAAATTGGACGGAGGACTCCGTACAAATAAACGAAATGTCTGTCGGCAGGATAATTTGGAATCAACTGCACATGTGAGCACAAATATACATCAGCCGAGGGAATATTCTGCACACGATTCGCCACACATCAACCACACTTCTAAATCTAAGACAAGAAAAAGAAAAGAAAAAAGAGACCTCCCCGCCTTACCCTAGTCCGTTCGGCTCCATCGGGGAGGGTTTGTTCGTCAGGCACTTCAGCTGTAGGTGCAGATCCCGATTTATGCACATTGGTCCAGCGCCCGCCACGCGAGCCACACCACGTCGTGGAATATGCAGAATTTCAAGTCTGGCGGCCTCGATCATAATCAAGAGGGCCGATGACAACCGAAAACTCCGAAAGGATTCCATGTGGGCCATACCCAACAGGGCAGTCGAAAGAAATGATTGGCCCGGATGAATCGAGTTGGCAAATCCCTACTACCGCTACCGATTCGATAGAAGAGAAAAACAAAAAAAAAACCACCATGACAGGTTGAGTTGGATCTTGAAGATTCAAGATTCAAGATTCGAGATTCGATTTTGGGCAATTGGCAATTGGCAATTGCAATCGTGACGAGAACTCACAGAAACCAGTTGTAATCTACATTTTGGTTGCTCAGGTTTTCCTCCGACGGTGGAAGATCCAAGCGACTTGCTTTCACCGCGTCTAACCTCCGGTTCTGCGGTCAAGGAGAGAGTTTAACAAAGGTGTTCAAAGCAGGTATGACGGAGTAAGAATAAGATACGTTATATAAAATTTAATTCCAGTGTTGAAAAGATTTCGAGCCCAAAAGCGGCAGATCATCCAACATACAGATGGAGGCTTTTCACCCTCACATGAGCGAAAAGATGTTTCGTTGCCCTAAGTCGACGCGGGACTTGCGCCATATGTCGACATTGTTACAACTCACTGGAGGGTCATTGGACTTATTGGACTCATTGGACTCTAAATGTTTCATTCCTGCAAGGTTGTACAACTCACTCGTGTTGCTCGGGATTTACTCGAGGCTTCCTTGACTCCAGGGGCGAATGGATCTAGCGATGCCACCTGTGTCCCCAACATCCCCAAGGGGGAGAAGGAACCTATCCGCAATTTGCGTTGAGAATCAGGACCACTATTGACGACTGAAGTGGAGTCTTGAAATCACAGTGCAATCTCCATGGTCTTGTAGCAAAACCAGAGAAGAAAAAAAACCCCCCGAAAAAACCATCAGAAAAATAGAAAACAAAAAACGAAAAAAAAAACCAAAATAGAAGCAGCTGAATAGATCCATACACACCTGGCCCAAGTCTGGATGAGCTCACAGGGTATTGCTAGTAATAATTTCATTGTAAGAAGGTTGCATCAGCGTTGGATTCATGCCCACTTTGATGCAGCCAACCAGTAACAGGCTCATAAGGGTGAGCTCAGGGTTGTAGGTCTCCTAGATGTAATGACCTCCTGGATAGAGGGATACAGACCTAGCCCTATGTTGCTTCTAATATTATGATCTAGCAGTCAAGCTGACTGTTGTTATGCCGCTATCCGATGCATCTGATCTAGACCAAAAAGCCCCAACTTCCCCGAGCTAATGCATTGTTTTTTTTTTATTAACCATACACTCTTTTGAATTCTCATAACTCGTGCCGCTCGTTTACCGTCTTTCTGTTCTTTCGACCATCCTTCTGTCGTCAGGTGGTTCAAAGAATAGACATGACATCCTCTCGCTACTCAGGGCCTTCGTGCCGTGATCTTGATAATACCCTGCGGATTGATGCCGGATCATGTCGCGGAGGATTTGATTTCTCTCTTTTGTTTGAGGAGACTATCCTCGAGATTTTACCTATTCTCTTAATGCTAATCATTATTCCCCTTCGTCTGTGGCAACTCTCACAAAAACGAAACAAAGTGGTGCGATCTTGGTTGGTCCTCTTCAAGCTGGTAAGTTGAATTTGGTTGCCCTTGACCTGCTTTCGGCAGTTAGCATGCAAGAACCCGAGCCCCCTGGTCTTTGGATTGGGTCGGCAATCCAATTTGAGAATACCGTCATCTAATTCCTATCTCTGAATAGGCAGCTTGGTTGGGACTATTGGGTCTTCAGATTGCTCAAATAGCCCTATGGGCCCTTCCGGCAGCCGACAGCACCAAGGCATCGGTCCAAGCCAATGTGATCTTGACAATCGGCGTGTTTGCTCTCGTTCTGCTTTCATATGCAGAGCACACGCGCTCTGTGCGACCATCCTTCATTTTGAATACCTACCTCTTCTGCAGCTTGCTTTTCGGTATCGCACGGGCTAGAACTCTGTGGCTACGCAGCGTTGACACCTTCAATGATACCCTTGCCATTCTGGCTACAGCAGTAGTCGGTGTCAAACTACTTCTGTTCGTGCTTGAGGCCGTGGAAAAGAGACACATCCTCAAACCAGAATATGCCGGGTATCCTCCCGAAGCGACTGCGGGTTTCTACAACCGTGCTATGTTCTGGTGGCTGAACCCACTGTTCAAGATCGGGTTCACTGGTGTTCTGCGGGTAGAGGATCTATTCGTGTTGGACAAAGAACTGAGCTCTGAGCGCCTGCTCGCTCGGTTTGACGAGACATGGAGCAAAGGTAATCCTCTCTTCCGGCGAAACGTGGGTTTTATTTTGGTTGTTGCTAATCATTCTACAGTAAAATCAAGATCCCCCAACACCCTGCAATGGGAGTCATTAAAGGCTGTCAAATGGCCTCTACTTGCTGGCATCCCTGCCCGAGCTTGCGTCGTGGCATTCAACTTCTGCCAGCCTTTGCTCCTGGAGAGATCGCTCTCTTACTTCAACTCGCCTGTCAATAACGGTACACAAAACATTGGATACGGACTCATTGGCGCATACATCTTGGTCTATACCGGACTGGCGGTTTCAATGGGCCAATATCAACACCTCACTTACCGTGGGATTACCATGGTCCGTGGTGTGCTTGTCACAATGCTATACAAAAAAGCCAGCTGCCTAAGCCTCGGGCACACTGACCCTGCTAACTCGCTCACTCTGATGAGTGCAGACGTCGAGCGCATTACCCAGGGATGGGCGACCATGCATGAGATCTGGGCCAACTCGGTTGAGATTGCTCTGGCCATCTACCTCCTCAAGATTCAGCTTGGAGTATCCTGTGTTGTTCCTGTTTGTGTCGCCCTGTTTGCTTTGGTTGGATCGTTGGTTGCCATGTCATTTGTTGTCGCACGACAAGCCAAGTGGCTGGAAGCTATCGAGAAGCGCATTTCCTCTACCTCCGGGATGCTTGGGTCGATCAAGGGAGTCAAGATGCTTGGTTTGCAGGATCACTTCATGAAGCTCGTTCATGGTCTCAGGACCAGCGAACTGGATATCTCCAAGAGCTTCCGCACACTTCTGGTTTACAACATGGCATTTGCCTGGTTTACTCGCATCTTTGCCCCAATCTTTACCTTCGGGGCCTATGTCGGAATCTCAAGTGATCCTTTGAGCGTCTCTCGCGCCTTCACCTCTCTGTCGCTATTCTCTCTTCTGGCAGACCCTCTCATGACCTTGGTGATGGCACTCATGTCTTTCGCTGGTGCCGTGGGATCCTTCCAGCGCATTCAACAGTTCTTGGACAAAGAGGACCATGCTGATCGCAGGAACAACTCACACACAGTGTCCCATGAAGACCTCGCTGCGAAGCGTGCTTTATCAAAAGCTAAAGAGCTTGACTTGTCGTCCATCAACTCAGACTCAGTCGAGTCGCTCAAGCGCTCCATTACTCCTACTTCTTCAAACGCCGTTGTTGTCCAAAGCGGAAGCTTTGGATGGGAAGCCGAGAAGGCCCCAATTCTCTCGGACATTACCATGACCCTCCCCAAGGGCAGCTTTACCGTTCTCGTTGGACCATCTGGATGCGGCAAATCTACTTTGCTAAAGGCTCTCCTCGGAGAAGTCCCTTGTTCCGATGGCAAGGTATCGGTCGCATTTTCCAGCGTCGCATACTGTGATCAAACACCGTGGCACATGAATGGCACTATCAAAGACAGCATCGTCGCGATGTCTGAGTATGATCCACAATGGTATTCCTCTGTAATTCGGGCTTGTGCTCTGGAAGAGGACCTCGCACACTTCCCTCGTGGGGATGCCGCTGTTATCGGAAGCAAAGGTATTGCTCTCAGCGGTGGTCAAAGCCAACGCATTGCTCTTGCGCGAGCAGTCTACGCCCGGAGAAAGATCATGATCCTCGATGATGCACTCAGCGGTTTGGATGCTACCACCGAAAACCACATCTTCCACAGCCTGTTCGGGCCTGGGGGGCTTCTTAAAGAAATGAAAACTTGCACTATCGTCGCGTCATCTTCTGTCAAACGCCTTCCCTACTCCGATCACATCGTTGTCTTAGACGCAGGTGGTCGGATTTGCGAACAGGGAAGCTTTGCTTCTCTGAACAAAACCGGTGGATATGTGGCCAGCTTCGGACTCGGGCTGCCCGAATGGCAGCAAAATCCTAAGCGCCTCTCCGACTCACCCAGCTTCAGCACCATCGACACTATCCAGAAAGAAAAGGAGCCATTGATCGAAGAGCCAGAGCATCACGATGGTGGTGGCGATCTTGGAATCTACACATACTACATCAACGCCATTGGATGGCTCCCTGCGATCATTTTCATGGTCGCCATGGCCGGTTTTGTGTTCTGCATCTCGTTTCCCAGCATTTGGGTGAAATGGTGGGCCCAGTCCGATACTGCACACCACAAGCAGGAGTTTGGCCACTATCTCGGGATCTACGCGATGCTTGGCTGTATTGCTCTGCTCGCACTGATCGTCGGCAGTTGGCAAATGATTATCACCATGGTCCCCAAGTCTGGTGAGAGCTTCCACCGCGCGCTCCTGACTACGGTCCTCGGCGCTCCAATGCTGTTCTTTTCCACTACCGACAGCGGTTCAATCCTGAACCGGTTCAGTCAAGACTTACAACTCATCGATATGGATCTTCCAATTGCTGCGATTAACACTGTTGTTACATTCTTCCTCTGTCTGGCACAGATGGCTCTGATTGGAGTCTCCTCCAAATACGCCGCTATTTCCTTCCCACTCGTGCTTGGCATCTTGTTCCTGATTCAGAAGGTGTACCTGCGCACCTCACGTCAGCTCCGTTACATGGATATCGAGGCCAAGGCTCCCCTGTACTCGCACTTCACCGACTGTCTCCAAGGACTGGTGACTTTGCGCGCCTTTGGATGGCAACACAGTATGGAGAAAAAAAACATCGCTCTCCTTGACCACTCCCAACGACCCTTTTACTTCATGTTCACAATCCAGCGCTGGCTCACTCTGTCGCTGGACATGGTCGTTGCAGGAATAGCTGTTCTTCTGATCGTGCTGGTTGTTGTCCTGCGTGGATCAACCCTCAGTGCCGGCTACGTTGGTGTCGCTCTGCTGAACGTTATCCAATTCAGTCAAAGCATCAAGCTTCTGGTTACTTTCTGGACCAACTTGGAGACGCACATCGGTTCCATCCAGCGCATCAAGGACTTTACGTCAACTGTCGAGTCGGAAGACAAGCCGGGGGAAGACCAAGATGTGCCCCCTAACTGGCCTTCCAAGGGTGCGGTCGCCTTCCACTCCGTCTCTGCGGCCTATAGACCCTCCGAGCCAGTCCTCAACGATGTCTCTCTCATTGTCCCGGCAGGCGAGAAAGTCGGCATCTGCGGACGCACCGGGAGGTAAGAACAACCATCTCCAGTTCCTTCTCCTCCTCTTTTTCTAACACCATAACCAGTGGTAAAACCTCCATGATCATGAGCATCTTCCGGATGATGGAACTAACCAGCGGCATCATCACTGTGGACGGAGTTGACATCAGTCGCCTTCCACAACGAGAGATCCGCTCACTCATCAATGGGGTATCACAAGACTCCCTCCTGTTCAAAGGCAGTGTCCGATCGAACGCGGATCCAACCGGCGACCATACCGACCGAGAGATCTTGGCAGCACTCAAAAGCGTCCAGCTCCTCCCTGCGATCCAAGAAAAGGGGACTCTAGACACCGACGTCGACGAGATTCACCTGTCTCACGGCCAAAAACAACTCTTCTGCCTTGCTCGCGCCCTTCTTCGCCCAGGCAACATCCTCATTTTGGATGAAGCAACTAGCAAGTAAGTTCCAAGTCTCCGCTCTGATCCACATCTCCACTTCGCAATGGTCACCAATGCCCTCCCACATGCGCTTTCATCCGCGGGCAATCTCCTTTGCCTTTTTGCGATCTGTACATTTCAGCCACTCATACCTGTGTCACCCCCCCCCCTTTTGCTGCCACAGAATCAAGACTAACCGCTTTGGAAAAATAGCATCGATTCCAAAACGGATGAAATCATGCAGCGTGTTATCAGAGAAAAATTCTGTAATCACACCATTCTCGCCGTCGCTCACAAGCTTGACACCATTCTTGACTTCGATCGCATCGTCGTCTTGGACGCTGGACGGATTATTGAGAATGGAGAACCCTATGCGCTTCTCACTGAGCCCAAGTCCCACTTTAGCAAACTGTATGCGAGTGCCATGGCGACGGAGGAATCTGATTGATCTCTTGGTTCTCTGTATCTTTGATTTGGGTGTTCGATTGGTTCTTTGATTGTTCTTGGCATCTGCACAGGTTGAAGCATCGGGTGATCTCTTTTCTTTTTGGCGTGACAATCGTCCACATTCCCTCTTAATTTATTTTTTTCGAGGTACATATCGAGAACATACTAATTTTGGGGGCATTTCTGATGGAGTTACATATTGGTTTGGGGATTCTGACTCATGTTCATGTTACTATTGTGTTCTGATTTTTGACGATGACTCTTCTGTTACTCTCCTTCACTACTTTTACCTCGGATCTGACACTATCATTTACCTTTCATTGGACTCTTGGCTCTTGATTCGCACGCGTCACCTTGATAATCTACAGTCTTGATTGAATACCAATTTTCTCTTTCGTGAATGGAATTCAGGCATTGGTTTTCTTCATCTACGAACAGTTCGCGATAATTCTTCGGAATGGTTGAACTCTATAGACCAACTCGATGTACGTGCTCGCTTCCTTGGGTTAGAATGCCCTTCATTGTGCTCTCAGGGAGATTAGGCGAGAAACATGACACCTTAATGAGTACATGGTTGCTAGATATGTTTATATATATTCACATCGAAGTTCTTACATCCCATCCCAATGGAAAATTGACTGCAATTGCTCCAGCAAAACATTACATTGGATGATTAGTTGCCCAGTCATATCTAAAGGTGTTCGAAATAAACCACGGTCCACTACCGCTCGACTGACAATGGAATCTCCCTGGGGAGGTTAAAGTCCGAGCAGGTCAAGTACCGGGAACATCTTGCTGTCAACACCCACGGAACGGTGCATTGGGCACTGCAGACCAACTCGTCTGGTTGGAAAGCCTGTTTTATTGAGGTGCTTTTATCAGGCAGCTATAGACCTCTGCTCCTGTCCTGGGGATCCTTGTCATAGAGAAATGGTACCCTCGTAGGTAGAGACGACTGAACTACGATTCTCTTCCTGCCTTGACTGGCAGCTCAAGTCGTCAAAATCAAACCCATAGCATCCCATCCATCCCTCGCATACTAGAAAGAAAAGAAACAAAAAAGAAACAAAAAAGAAACAAAAAAGAAACAAAAAAGAAACAAAAAAGAAACAAAAAAGAAACAAAAAAGAAACAAAAAAGAAACAAAAAAGAAACAAAAAAGAAACAAAAAAGAAACAAAAAAGAAACAAAAAAGAAACAAAAAAGAAACAAAAAAGAAACAAAAAAGAAACAAAAACCAAATCCTATTTTTTGCACCCCATCCGACTATGGACTACCTTGGCAGTAAAGAAATGAAAAACACCCGTATCAAGTACCATACATTGAAAGAGAAAAAAAAAGAAGATCGAATTCAACGGAGGCCATGGCAATCCCCAGGACCAACATGCAAAGTCATAGATAAGTCCCCCGCGGAGTACCAACTACAGAACCATCGTTTCATCGTTATCCCCATCCTTCTCTTCATCAAGACCAAATTCCCAGTCTCCACGCTCAATCCGGCTGACGCGGTCAAGCTCAGACTGGAATTCGCGACGCAGATGCTCGAGCGTGACAATGATCCGACGCGTAAGCAAGTGGTTGGTCGAAGGAACTTCAAAGGAAACGATGCTGTTACGTCGTTCGATGGCGGAAGATTTGTTGCTTCCTCTGTGGTGGGCGGGCGCGAAATCCGCGGCATTGGATGGTCGGCGCTTGCCTCCGAGTGGTGTGGGCGAACCGGGGTCGACGTCCTCCATGGAGACGTTCCCGTCTTGATCGGCTTGTGTGCTTGGACGTCTCTCATGGGGAGAAGTGGGAGCGGTGCTGATGGGGGGGCCGTGCTCGACGAGGATGTATGCTTCACTTTTGTCGACACATGCGAGGAGGTTGATAAGGGACAACAACTCCTGGCGGATTTCCTTGCTCTCGGCATCGTCTTCCTCGACTGGGGACCGGGCTGCATCAACCGCCTCCCTGCCTTTGAGAGCGAGGGCGGAAGACGGGGCATCTCGTGCTTTGCGGAGGCGCTGGACATTGCGGTAGGCAATTTCTGCGGCGCCGCGGTAGTCACTGCGGGCAATGCGGTAGGCCTGGAGGATGCGCGTGTAATCGGGGGTGGCTGGGAAATTTTTGTTTTCTGCATCTAACCAGGATACATTGATGGTCTGTTTGCGGGTCAGGTGGACGAGGATCTCGTCAATGAAAGATGCGATATTGGGGACAAGCGAGGTGGGGAAACGGAGAATCTGCTTGAGACCAGCAGTGCCGGGTCCGGAGACTGCCAGGATGGTGGAGATGAGTTCGGAAAGCTCGGTTCGTTGTAATTTGAGATCTTGCAACCTAGCCAGAGCAGAGTATGCTTGGTCAAACTGGCAAGTCCTGAGAGCACCAGTGAACAGACGAGACAGCAGATCGTCGCGTACGGTCGGGTATTCGGAGTTTTGCTCGGCCCAAACTTCGGAGTCGAGGGCCTGCAGCGCCAGGCTGGCAAAGTCCGCGACATGGGAGTATGAGCGCACTTTTTCGAAGATTGAAAGGACGTGCTGGTAGTATTTCGCAAGACCGTTGTGGAAGCAGTCAACATCAAGGAGGTCTAAAAGCTCGGCTGACATGTCGGAAAGATTGCCCATTGGCTTGCCGCAAGCTACATTTATGGTTAGCTAAGATACATCAACACCAGAAATCACCGGGAGATACGTACAAAGCAAATAAGCTGCTTTCCGGAAGTAGAGAGCGGCGGTATCGAATTCCGACATAGCCACATGCAAGCGACCCTTAACGTAGGTTGACCAAGAAGTACTTGCCTGGAAACGAAGGAAGTCCCATGCAAGGTCGATGTTGTTCTTGGCGATCAGGTCACACTGGATGTGGGTCACTGCATTTTGATAGTTCACTTCGCCTTCACGGGTAATCCAGGCCACGACATCTCTGATTCCCAACGTCAACGTGTAGCTTTGCGGGGAGTCAATAGCTTGCTGGGGCTTGATATCGGTAACAAACAGGTCCTCCAGAATGCTTGCAGTTCGTTGACTGCTGGTCTTCGAGCTGTCTTTCAGTGGATATCTCTGCAGTGGGTCGACAAGGGACTTGCGTGCGCTGTGAGGGCATTTGCGGACATTAGAGCTGAGCCAGGCCATCATCTCGTATTCACGTAGAAGATCAACAAGCATTGAGAAAAGGTTCGATGCATCGAAGTCGGACTTGCTTGTTTGTTCCCATTCGCCATCCACAAATGTAACTAGGACAAGTAGATCGAAAAAAATTTGACGAGAGATGGAAATAGTCTCCTGCGCACCACTGACAAGCACTCGGGCACCAAAACAGGTTGAAGCAAGTTCTGAGTCTTCTCCGCAGAAGTGAAGAGAGGCCGTCTGGATAATGGCAAGGAACGCATCCATGGATAAGCAATCTGTTTTCATGTGCTCACTCAGGGCCGCGTCTAAAATGTCAAAGGATTTGTTGGAAATTTGATTGGCAAAGTCAGAGCGCTCTCGGAAGTTCTCCATGCGGTCCAAGATCGACGAAGAAGGCTCGGAAAAAATTTCGGCTTGAAGAGCGACTCGACACGCCCCCTCAAGCTCTGGGGAAAATCTTTTCCGGAAATCGGATGCCACTTTCAACAATCCAGAGGCTGTTTCGAAATTCGGGCCCAACTCTCTTGAAACGTTGCGATGTCTCCAGCGGTCCACCATCTTTGACAATCCGTCGCTGAGTTCGGAGCTGGAATTGTGCAAGAACAATTCAGTAATGCTGCATTCCCGCACCACAGCACAGGAGTCTGACAGAAGGAGCCACGGCATATCGGTGTATGAGTCGTAGGCGAGAGAGATTGGTTCGAACCGGCGTTTGTTAAGGTCTTCTGCAACTTGCCAGAACTGGCGCCACTTTGAATCTGTATCTGATGTGTACCGGGAATAGTCCATCTCCTCGTCTGCAAATTTCCGAAGAGAGACTGCCGCTGCTATTGTGGAGCAGAGTCGTTCTGCCAAAGGCAAACTCATTTTTAGCCCTCCATATGAAGTCGACGAGAGTGGTTTGATGGCCTCCTGGTAAACAGCCAGAGCAGTCTCAAGAACTTCCGGCAGATATCGATTCGGCTGCAGGAGATACTGTAGCCACTTTTCAGTGGGGTCCACCACATCATCCACGACCAGAGGTGGTGGTAACTCTTGTCGATGGGTTTCAAATGTTGTCGAGACCCAGTTAGAGGCCCAGTCCGTAACTAAAGTTTGGAGATTGAAATGGAGGGTGTAGAGTTGGTAAAGACCGTGGTTTCTCCAGAGCACCCACAACTCCATTCCCTTGCCTTCTCCCCGGGACTTAATCTGGAAATCGGCGATGCTCCAGAACATGTTACCCGTGGCATCCGGGTCCACAGGTCGGAAGACATCGTCTGCGAAAAGTTCCTCAATAATGAGCTCAGATGTCAGGCCACCCTTAACAGCCCAAAACTTGAACTTGCCGTCCTCAAAAGGCGAATATGTGACGACATAGAAGCGATGTCCACCATCCATAGCGCGCTCGGCGTTGAATACGCGCATGAACGATGTCTCGGCGGGGTTCAGCGTGTAAGGCACAAGATCCGGATCCTGAAGCGACCGTCCCAGGAGATCCTTTGTGGCCGCTAGCTTGTTCGTTGCGAGATTCCAAATCTTTAGGGTGTGGTTCAAACAAATCGCGAATACGTACGTCTCGTCAGATGTAGTAGCAATGGCATTTGCAACGTTCAAATCAAGATTGCGCCCGTCGTGTTTGATCGAGGAGGGTGCGCTCCATTTGACAAGGCCTCGAATCGAAGAGCCCCAAGTTCGTTCGTCAAAGGTGAGAGGAGACCAGTGGGAACCTAGTTTCATAGAGAATTAACAAAAGGAGTGTCACAAGAGTAGCAATTCCGAGAAAAAACACTCACCATCATCGCCAGCTCTCCGGGTCAGCCGCAAGAGCGCGCCATTATCGAGAGAGATGAACAACTCCAGGGGACTGCTTGCGTGTAGTCGGTGGGGGTTTGAAAAGGCCAAGGGAGCCGGGAGGCAGGTCTTGCACCACTCCCTCACATTTTCATCGATTGAGGAGGTCCTGCGGAAGAATTCAGGGCGCAGAGACAGGGTGTGAAGGTGCTTGGAAGCGGTGATCACAAAGACATTGATGAGTTCGTGGTCCTCGGAGTCAGATAATTCAACTCCAAAGGGGAGAATCTGCTCCTGGAAATCCAATCGCAAGGTCACATTGTATTCGTAGACTTCCATCCCACCCTTTGTCAGGTCCGCGCACTGGATCTCCAGCACTTTGTTGTCGTTGACGACCCTCCACAAGAATGTCCTCGGATAGACCCTGCGCTTCCGGAAGTAGATCTCACCCTGTGTCGCAAGGTAACGTCTGGCGAATTCATCTTCATCTTTGGCAATTAGGAGTTCCTGGTCGGAAGATGAGATTGAAAAGCGCGGACGACGGATCGCGGTCTCTTGAGTCGGAATCTGAATGTTGGCGACCGTGGTCGGCGAGTAGGGCCGAAGGTCGACCCTTAAGTCTTTGTAGATTTTCGCCATGATCGATTGACGTGTGTCAACTTAGCACTCCATGGCCGGGGAGGTAGAAATGTTGGAAGATCGAAGGGCGGGAAGCTGGAGCTCTCAGAAAACATGGCAAGTCTTGGCGCGATTAAGGGCCTGAGATTGATGGCTTCCGCCCTCGTCGTTTGCTCTTAGACTTAGACCACTTGTTTAACTCTCTATATTCCATGGTGATGAGATTTTAAATCTTAAAAGAATGAAGATGAATTACGCTTTCTAAATCCGCTACTATCAAGAAAAAAGATCCCCCTCATCGCTGAGATGCCACGAGGCGTTCTAACCACATAAACAGCTATTGAATGTAATACTCGTCAAGTCAATAACATCGTGTCACAGAACAAAAAACGAGCAACCACAAGAAAGGTTGGCTCACTTATCTTCCAAGTCCTTCTCAGAAGGATCGCCAATACCATTGTCATTGATAGCGAAGAGGCAATCACTCTCTGGAAGACAAGGACTATCATAAATCTTGCAGATTCTAGTCTCACCACGGCCCTTCTTCAGACTGAGTCGGGTGGTACTGGCATGAGCGATGATATTACCACCAATAGGTTTCTTAGGATCCGGGTTGAACATGGCACTTGGGCCACCATCGACTTGGGCAACGACTTGGTTCGTGATCACGACCGCAATGCCAAACTCATCTGCGAGACGTTGCAAGGTACGCATGAACTTAGCCAAATGAGTCTGCCGTGAGGCGAGCTCACCACGACCGTTGAAATCCGTTCGGTACAGAGATGTCGCCGAATCAACCACCAGGAGAGAGAATCGGGTCTCACACATCATCTGAGAGGCCTGGTTAAGCAATTGGAGCTGGTGGTCCGAATTATATGCTCGTGCATACGCCACATTATCAAGAACCTCCTCACCAACAAGGCCGTATCGCTGCGCAACCGCGAGTAATCGTACTGGACGGAAAGTCCCCTCTGTGTCGATGTAAAGACATTTGCCCTCGCCGCCACCCATATCAAAAGGTAGCTGACAGGTCACTGCGAGAGTGTGACAAATCTGGCTCTTTCCCGTTCTGAACTCTCCGAATATCTCCGTGATCGACCCCGTTTCAATGCCACCTCCGAGTAATGTGTCAAGTCGTTTGGATCCCGTGGTGATGGAGATGAGCTCGCTTCTCCGGGCATGCATTTCGGTTGCCGTAGTAAAGCCCATAGGTACCAGTTTTGATGCTAATGGGCACATTCTCATTAGCAACTAGAGATCCAACGTAGAGCTATATTCTAACGAGGACTTACCTTCAACTAGGATCTTGGTGGCCTTTTGTTCCGAAATACCCTTGATCTGCTCCAACAACCGCTTGGGCCTAAAATTCACCTTGGGTGTTAGCCAGAATGATTTATAAATGGTAATGGACATAGCTGAGCTGGTGCCGGGGAAAAAAAGGCCGCAATGAACGTGAAGATTATAGTTACGTACGTGTAGGCCACAGACTCGACAGTGTTATACCCGGCATCCACGAACAACTTAATATCCCTGGCAGTCAAGCCGGAAACACCCTATGACAATAAGGTCAGTACAACAGTCCAGAATTCTGCAGCAAAAGCAAATCGTCATGGCATCTACTCACGTCGAGCGCAGAAAGCGGGGTCGGGGCACCAGGGCCTGGAAGCCCATTATCATCAAATTGCTCTTCTCCCTCCATGCTAGCAGTATTACCCCTAGTTTCTCGATATTATTGGGAACTTGCTGCCTCTTTGGCAGGGTCTCTTGACTCGAAAGCACGGATGATGGATCCACTTCAAAAGACGCGTGTGGATGAAATGAGGACTCGCTCTTCTCGGTTTGAACACGGAACAAAGCCAGGGATCTTAACTAATCAGTTAACCAGCAGGCAGTCTGATTTTGCACAGGTCTGAAAAAAATCTGAAATGTCTGTCTGTGGCAAAAAGGTTAGGATGACTCCGAGTCAACAAATCGGACGCGTCAACTGGATCGCGAGGTCACGTGTGGCTGTGCTGCCTTGAGCCTTTCCGGTTTTGGAGAAGCAACACTGTTTCTGTTACAAATGCGTGGAAGCACATGATTCTACTTTTTTTTCTTGTGCTATCTTATAAGTAAGTGGCCAGCAAGACGTCAGTGGTGTGCATCGATTATGTTGTACTGGATACGCGGTGGATCGGATACTATTGGTTCAACATGCAATGATAAAAGGTGTAAGAATACAAATCTTGCAATGAACTGCATGCTGCGACCCCACCTGTCCATTAAAACCCATTTTCTCAAGGTTCTCTTGGGTCATGGAAACCCAAGAAATAGAAAACCACCCATGAGTCGCCGCAACGCCGGATGAATGTCAATGCTAAATGTCCGAACAAAAGCAGGGGTTGAAAGTCTTCTAAGATGTTTGTTCTGGTGAATTCGGTTTCCTTGCGAAGCATTGACGTTTTGTGAATCACACCTCCCTACTGTTGATTTCCAGGAGAATCGAGCCAAGGGCGAAAAGGACGAAGCAACGACTTCCGAAACCGTCTCTGGTACTGACGCAGAGCCGGATCGAACTCGAGCTCTTCGGCCGGCAGCCCCGTCTGGATGTTTTCGTTGAAAATCTGGCTCATTCTGCGTCGGAACTCTTCGGATGATCGCCGGCGAAGACGTTCTATGAAGGAGTCGCATTAGTTTCTCTGTTCAATCCCTACGTCACTGCAAATTTGACTTACTCGTGAATCGTGAGCTCCGCTTGTTCTCTGATGAAAGACCGGAAGATGATTCGCTAATGGCCGAGACATACTCCATATCCTCATTGGCGCCATCCAATCCTCCTGGGCAGTCCTTATTGTCGAGACTAGAGGTTGTACCGAATAGCCGCGTGTGGAAGCTAACACGCTTTCCGCTGCCCGCTGCGTCCTTTAAGCCGATCAGCGATTCCTCCTGTGCAGGTGACATGCGCATCGCATTTGGGTTGATGGGCAGACTGGCTCTACTATAAATTCCGGCGGGTCTTTGGTTCTCATAGAAGCCTGCGGAGGCTAGGTCGAGCTCGGAAACGACTTCACGTCGGGCAGCTGGTGGCATAGGCTTTGGGCTGACCATAGAAGTCTGGGATTCCACCGAGCAGCCAGGGGCGTCAAGGGTTCTATGCAGCGACCTTGGCGCTGGACTGGCCGATCGACTTGCAGCTGGAGTTGCAGGCCGACGCGGACTTTGTGTGGGTGTGTTGGGATCTGAAACCCATATCCCTTCAACTTCTACACCTCTTTCCAAAGCTCTGGCGCCGAAAGGGATGTCATCCTTGTGCAGCATTGGGTAGACCTCAGCTTCCTCCTCTCGTTGCTTTGCCTCTGTCGCAGCAAATTTACTCAGCATCCAGCGATTCCAGCCGAGAACGCAAAAGGCATAAAGGAGCACCAGGACCTACAACACTTGTCAGTTCTTATCTTGGTTACGTTACCAAAGAGCCACGCACGATTAGCATGGCTAGTACCTGTCAACGACTATGTTCAGTAAGTGATCTCCATGATGGCAATTGACTGCTCACCACGCTCAACTTCTCCCAAAGCTCCCAGTCCACCCAAAACGCCATATTAGCCGTTTACTTTGGGGTACACTCAGGCTTTGCCTGCGCGAAAGTCATCCGAGTAAGGGTGTTCAGGATTTATATGGGGTCGTGGGTGAAGGATAGTACAGAAAAAAAAAGACACTGATAGAAAGGGTTCTTGGGGTCAGGGATGAGAGCAGAGGCGATTGGAGGAACGGGGAAAGGGCTCAAACAAAGGTGATGGAAGGAACACCTGCTTAAAACGCATGACCACGTATTTCCATCTCTACATGAATCTGTCTCCCTTTGTTTTTCTTTCTTTTCTTTCTTTTTTTCTCTTTTTCCTTGTATCCATGGTGTCTATCCAAATAACATGTAAAATTTGTGAAAACACAATGTGATTTCCACCCTCCATTGACTGTGGATATAAAATATCCAGTTTGGATGAGCATCGCAGAAATTGCATATTTTAGGCGGCTTTTAGATGCACCTGAACAGATTTAAAAAAATTTCCCACTGATGTAAGTACATGGCTACACCAAAAACGACAAGAAACAAGTGCAAAAAAAAATCTCTCCCTCGGGGAATCGAACCCCGGTCTCCCGCGCTTATCGGTGTTAATGACAAGCGGAAATCATCACCACTAGACCAAGGAAGATGCGATGGTCGAGTTACTGCTCGACCACTTGGCTGATTGATGAAGTTATGACCACTCAAATTTTATAAGGAAGACTTGTCAAGAGGTTTCAATGTTCGGAAGTTTGAAGGCATCGTGAAACCTCTCTTTATTACCAACCTTTTGTTGAATACATTAAACTCTATAGTTCACTTCTCTTTCCAGTTACAAAAGCCTTAAATCATGGCGTAGATGTTCTAATGGGGTTAAAAAATGAATTGGCTCAGGCGCACTCAACTATATATCTTGTCTTGGAGTTCTCCACATTCATGATCGCAGCCAGCCATCATGGAAATCAATAAGTATTATCTGATACATACTCAAAGCACTGCAACGAACCCCACTTCGCATTTACTCGAGGAGATAAGTATCCAGTATTGCCATCCTGACAGCCCTTAAAAGCCCCATATGTCTCTCCTACCCAGTCCTCATCCCTACATTTCCTGCCCGAATACACAACACACTTCCCAGATTTGATGAAAAAAGACCTCGCATTTGTAAGTTTACTGGAGGCACAGGTGCCCCACTTGAGACCATCATCAGACCACCATCGACAGGAGGTGGTTGTATCTGAGATCTTAGTGTCGGTATTCTCAGCGAGAATAATGCAATTCCCAGTATTCTGGGTTTCATGTCCCTGGACAGAGAAGTAATCACCTCGACAACCACTCTTCTCATAGATAGTCATCTGCCAAGTTGCAGTTGGAGCGATATCGCTTGTGGTTTTGTCTGGTGGCGGGACCATTTCTATACTGGTCAGGGTTGCCATGTTCGCTTTCGTGGTCTTCGGAGTTGTTGTAGACTTTGAAGTACTCATCTTTGAAGTAGTACTTTTGGGTTGACTCTTCGGTCTGCAATTGAAGATACAGTGGCCGATCGGGCGCACTTCACAAAAGTCCGAGAGAGTGCCACATCGTCCTGATTCAGCACACTGCAATCAAAGTGAGCAGAGGTCAACCAGATGGGGACTTTGGAAAAAAATGTCACTCACACATTGATCTTGAGGGCATGGGTTTAGAGAAGCAAGATCGGAATATTTAGCAGGACGTTGTGTCCCAGGAACCTGGGGACCGCAGACAGCTTGTGGGAGAGCAACTGGCATAGGAAGAGCGCCAGAGCTGAGACAGACAAAATCGCCTTCTTTAAGTTCTGCACAACCTAACCAGCCCCAGGATCCGACGTTCCAAGTCTCGATATTGCTGGTAGTGATCCGGAAACGCCGAGCGAGTCTTGAGCAGGTATCTCCCTCCTGGATGATGTAGGTGTAGCAAATACCATCATCACTCGGCGCAAATGGAGCACGCTTGTCGAGTGAATGGTCGTGAGACTTGCCAAAGCCACGCCCGGATTGGGCTGTGGCTATGTCGATAAATATCAGAGAGAGGAGGATATGAATGGAATTCATTGCCTTGAAGATACCCTTTTGCGTAATTCTTCATCGAGGAGATCGGCCTTTATATACTGCTTCGAGATTGCAAGACGAGCCCTGTCGGAATATGAATGAAACATGACCATCGAGTTCAGTTCATTGTTCAACTGTAGACCCTAGAAACCCTACGAGGCTGTATCCTATCAGACCCATGTTTCGGCAAGTATAAACAACTCGGCTTCAAAAAGGAGGATATCCCATATCACCTATCGGCCTACCCTTTGTTCGAATACACACGGTGTCGAAGATTGGACGGGGTTGAAAGGGTTGTAATCAATACTTGATTCCCAAGCAATTACAATGTGGGGAGTTGCGTACACGGTAAACGCTCAATTCCAAAAAAAAAAACTAGATGTAACAAGGGTCAACAGTCGGAGAAAACCAATGCAAGGCCTGACCGGAGATTGCTGCAGATTAAAAAGAAAAAGAAACGCTGAAGACCCCAGATCCCGGATATTCTTGAAAGAAAGCAAGAGAAAATTGACAGAAAATCAAGGACAAAGAGGGTATTTGGCAATGAGTAGATTTATGGCGTCTGTGTATCTGGCGGCACTATTGAGACTCTATCCCCGAACAGTACTCAATAGTGCTGATGGAGTCACACATGTCCTATTCTAACACCAGAGGCAAAAAAAGCCTCTTTCAAATTCAGAATCGTGCGGAGAGTGCAGGGGGGGGGGTTCCTTTGGTGCCATATTTATCCCAAGAAGACTTGAACATCGGGGATATAGGTTTCCTTACACCGACAACCTGTTATATCTTACATCAACAAAACACATATGTGATCAGCTTTCGCTGCCGATGAAGACAACGAAGCATGGCATCGCAATCAAAACCTGTTCGCGTACGACCTGCCGGAGTGGAGTGGACCTGGCGGTCTTAGTGATGCAGGGACTCAGTGACTCGGGGAGCCAGGAAAAGGGAGATAGATGAAGAAGAAAGGGGTGAAAGGTGCATAGCACAGATAGAAGGGATACTTTCCGCCCGCGGGGAATGCGGGATTGACCATCTGCAGTGCGCAGATGGCTTGACTTTCTTTACGTTTGAATTTTTTTTGTCATATTTGCATTGCGCCGGCCGGTTTGTGGCCTTCCAATTCAGGTTGCAGGACTCGACTTCTCGAGTCCTCGAGTCCTAAATACAGGGTGTTGCATACTGGGGATTCACTACCATTTGTCGTCGGCAGCGGGCTCTGGGATGCAGCCCCCGCATAGCAGCATGTATGTAATAGTGAGCTAGATCGGGTTAATGAGATCGTCATCATCATCATCATAATCATCAACCTGCTCAATAACTAGTCACATGTCTGATACGTAATACAATGCCAAGGCAAGCCAAGAGAAGATAAAAGGGAAGCAGGCGAAGAGGGAGAAAAGAGAATACTAATGTCAGATGCCAAAATAGGCAAGGGAACAAGGCTGACCATTCTCCTATACTCCGTAGAAGAACCGAGATACATCTACGGATACACTAGCAATAGCCCAAAGTGGGCTCATGATCTACATGTGGCAAGTTGCAGAAAATCACGTCCGATAAGACTCGGAAAGTCACGCTATCAACTCCTTGGAAGCTGATTGGAATAAGAAGTTAAAGTACAAAACGCTGTGGCTTGAAGACTCGGGACTTTGGGAATTTGTGGCAAACTCTTCATAGGCTTGAAATGTCTCATATCTTATGATTTGCTGGGATTAAAAGATTGCGGCATCACTGTCCAATGACCTCGCAACTAGATCCGGGAATTATTATCGAAAGAAGTTAGCGTGGACTAGCTTGTCTGCAGTCGAAGTCTGCACGAATCTACACGCGGAACTCCGATGCATGTGTAGCCGTTTCTTCTCACCCCGAGGTAAAGGGAATTATGGCGACCTAGTCTTGTTCCTTGAACCCTGTCTACCGTTAATCCTATACTACTACACGACCAGCCACAGGATGTATAACTATGTATACATACCACCTAGGTACTAAAATAGAATTTATCCAAACTATTCACAGATCCACATCTATCCGCCTCTTCCGCCTTTTCTCCTGGGCACCGTTGCTTGTCGAAAGCTTGGCACTATAATCTCTGATAGGCCAGGCAACAGGCCTATACTAGCTCCCAAGCCACAGTCACAACAAATTACCATTGCTGATTTTGTACTAGTTTTTATCACCGATGCACTCTGAAGAGGGCGATCACTTCCCTATTAGTTTTGTTTACTATTCTATGATGCCTGTTCATCTATACCAATTTCTCTAGGCTCCGTCGGAGATCCGGAAAGATGGAGCTTGTATCTTTTTAGTGTACATAAGAATTAGAAAATGCCATTGGACTAATTCCCTAGTCTCTGAAAGTATTCGTGGATGTCAAGCACAAAATAGGTCCGTGCAATGGAGGCATCTCGGTTCCTGTGACCGGAGCTTGCGAGCAGTTTACGCGGATCAAGTGGGATTCTCCAGGCAATGGCCCATCTTACGTTTATCCATCGGTCTCCGACGGCATCAGAAGATCTGAAGCAATGTCACATCGAGAGAGATGCATTGAATGCGCATTAGTTTGGAGTTGTTGTCTTTAACGTCCCAAAGAAGCTACAACTAAACTCGACAGCTATATAAACAGCCATTTCACTGCGATAATCTCGTTCTTCACACATTCAAGCCAACTCCAATTCATTATATCAAACAGTTCAATCATCCAATCTTGCACCATGAAGTTCTCTGCTACTATCCTCAGCGCCGCGTTGCTCACAACGTCGGTCATTGCAGCTCCTCTCACCGAGCAGCGCGCAGCTCGCAAAGCGGCCCGCGCTGCGAGCCGAGCTGGCCGTATCAGCCGTCCGGCTTACAAGCCCGACAACAAGGAGCTTCTGAAGGCGAACGGAACATCCCAGGAAGAGTTCAGCTCTAACTGGGCTGGTGCTGTGCTTATTGGCTCCCAGTACACCTCGGTCACCGGCACATTCACAGTTCCCAAGCCCGAACTTCCCTACGGTGCTTTTCCTTACGAGCAGTACTGCGCTTCTGCCTGGGTCGGTATTGACGGTGATACTTGCACCAGCGCCATCCTCCAGACTGGAATAGATTTCTGCATTCAGGGAGGCGAAGTTAGCTATGATTCTTGGTACGAGTGGTTCCCGGACTATGCCTACGACTTCTCCGGCATCGAAATCTCCACCGGGGATGTGGTTAAGCTCACTGTGACCGCTGTCTCCCGGAACTCAGGCTCTGCCGTCATCGAAAACCTCTCTTCCGGTCGATCTGTCACTCACAGGTTCTCCGGTGCTGAGGATGGTGAACTCTGCGAGACAAACGCTGAGTGGATTGTTGAGGACTTTGAGAGCGGTGGCGAGTTGGTTCCCTTCACCAACTTCGGAACTGTGACATTCTCAAATGCTGAGGCCCGCTCTGGCGGCGAGATTGTTGGCCCATCTGGCTCTGTTATCTTGGATATCCAGCAGAACAACCAGGTTTTGACCCAGTCTTCTGCTACTGGCAACAGTGTTACTGTCAGCTATGTCTAGTCTTAGACACAATGGTTCGATCAACCCCTGCCGCAGCATTGGAAGATTAGAAATGCAACATTGAACCGCACTAGTGTGTGAAGGAGAACTGTGAGATTGCAAAGAAAATTTGTTCTGGAAAACAACAGAAGATCGTACGCGTCATTTTTTTTTGGTAGATATGTTGGAAGCAAATCGAAACCCATTTTGCCTTGATTGATATCGTGACCTTTTTCTACATGGAGTACGAGATTATTTGGCCTACTCACGTAGTGGCATAAAATGGTATGCAGTCCTCGGAAATAGACATTGCAGGTGCAGTCTAGCTAGATTCTTCTTCTCCGGACTATAATAGATGATGAAGTCTGATGGTGATCAATCGAATCTTCTATAGACATCGCAATCAAATCAGATCCACTGGTTTGAAAAATTTGGCTCCAGCATTCAGGCTGAGCTGCAAGACGCAAGAGAACGAGGTGATTTGCAGTATCTTGATGGTCTTAGCCATTTCTGGGACAAAAGTTAGCATGCAGTGAACGACGAGGTATAATTACTCACCAACGACGGCTGCCCACATGCCCAACCCACATATGGGGAGAAATGCTGGGCAAAGCACAATATACCAAAATTCAATTGCATTTTGAAAAAGTCCAGTTCAAAAAGGACGGTAGAATCATTTTCAAGTCGCAAGTTTCGCGAGCCTGTGGTTTGATGAGCGTGCTTGTCGTCAACTTCCGGGGTGATTCTGTGACGAAAGAATCCTCTTTCTCGTCAAAAGGGATTCCTAAGCTCATGGATAGTGAGTGGACTTGGCTTCAGATGAGAATGGATAATGTGAGATAGATGCGAAGATCAATGGTGCGGTAATTGACTTTTCCAATTTCATACTAAAAAAGCTCGGGGATGAGCATCGGTTCTGATCTTATTGGAGTCATCAGCCATCACGAGGCTTATTTGCACTGCTTCGGATTGTTGTATCAGTTGGACAGGTTAATCCACAGATATAAACCTGAGTGCACGGAATTCCGATCCATTAATAGCAGCTTCTGATTATCCTCGGCTTGATTTAGGGTCACTGAAAAAGGCCCATTGAGCAAGAGTTGAGAAGAGGAGAGACGAGTTACGATGGACTCAGACCCGCATATGTCTGATAAGTGCCTGAGGTGACAGCCCGATCTCCTCTTTGCAGACAATAGATCCAAATCTGATTCCAGGTGGGGACAAGTACGATATGTACAGAAAAAGGGAACTAAACCATATTTTGTACTATCTATATCTTGGTTTTGTGAAAGATGATACATACGACCATAGGGTGTGGAAAACAGGGCTTCCCGTCCGCTCAGCCGTACTTAAGCCACACGCCGGTGAGTTAGTAGTTGGGTGGGTGACCACCAGCGAATCCTCACTGTTGTATGTTTTTCCTCCTTGGTTGGAGGAGAAATGGAGAAATAGCTGCTATTATGTATTTCATAGTTTTTCATTTGATCTCTTCGAGTCCTTTTAACGTCTATAGCCCCTATCTCCTTTATTACCATCAATGGTATAATCTCTTTGTTACTATAGAGTACACTTCTAAAATGGCTCTACAATGGATTTAAATAGGGAAGGCGCTTTGGTTATAGTAAGAAAGTAATATCGTATTGTTACGGACCTATCCGTCACCAACCAGTAGTGACCTACAAGGCGCACCGATGGGCCACCGAGAGCCAACAAATCAATCAGTCAGTCAGCATTCACGTGCGGTACGACCGGCAGAAAGGGAAGGACTGCAGGAAGGCAGCCACTTTCGGCCTGCGACAAGCAAATGGCAATTCTACTCTATGGGAACTTGGAATACCCTTCACTGATCACTAATCTGAGCCCGTGCTCACATCGACTCAGGGAGCCTGAGCCTGAGCACCCTCATAAAAGCGGCGGCAGCTCAAATAGGAAAGCCCCACCCACCAGGGAAAATCTGGTACGTATAGTTACATGCAGAACATTTTGTCCTTAAAACTGAAACAGCAAACTGTTGAGTAGGCGACCATTAAATCGGCCTCGCTCAGCTTTTGTGCTTCCACACTGTCTTCTCGCATTCTCTCCTTCTCTCGCTCACGGTCCGCCGTGATAATTGCACCTATGTCAAAGACTGCAATTTCACCCTTGTCCTTGACTCTAATGTCGCGGAGGGATGGTCGGGAGTAGTATGGCTATATTTTATGAAAAAATGCCGCATCCACCGCCACTCGACTGTTGATGTTGACTTTGATGGCTTTCCCCTTGTTCATAAAGAATGCGCTGCCTATACAGTGCTGAATGTGCGAGCCGGCCAAATCCCGAAACTTTTGACCTCTCTCGCTTAGGTCTTTCTAGACTTGCTCGCAACTTGGATGGTGGTGGAGAGGGTAAGCTTCAAGGGTCTCGATCGGCTTTGACCCCCGAAACTTTGCAACGCGCAAAAAGATCCCGGCCTCGCCGAACTTGGTTCCGTCATAGTCTAGGAATCGGCACTCAAGATTAAACCACGTCTCGTTATTTTGTGTCCTCTCTTCCCCCGCATCGAACTTGACACATCGCGGCTCTTTTGTACCAATGCATGTGGTGTAAGTATGGCAACCAGGCTTAGAAAGCACCCAAAGAAGGTCATATGTAATATGACCGTGCTGCAACATTGATTCGAGACGCTGCAAAGTAGAAGTATATACGTGCTTGAGGTGATCGATGAGTAAGAGGAGATGCTCCGCATATGCCGACTCATGGTCTGAACTGCTTTCTATGTTCTCCGCACATCTGTCGAGCTCTAGGAGGAAATGAAAAGGAAATTTTGCTCGATCGAAATCCACGTCAGCGTGCTCCTTGATGATAATACTGTCTCAATTACCGATGGCTTGTCCTCCATCAGGCTAACGGCCTTAATGTCGTGCAGCACGTCTCGCAGGATGTCGCGTAGGCCTTCCGACTTGATGTCTATGACTGGAACTACCTCCTCGGACGTTCGGTCTGATCATGCTATTAGTAGGTTTTCGGTCCGGCATGCAAAGGTGTTACGTACCAACACGTTCACGGACAACGAATGCATACTCAGCGTAGTCATCCAGGTCATTACTATTGGATTTACATGCCTCTTTGTCCTAGCTAGACCCGTGTCAGCTATCCGAAAAAGTGGAAGGGGTGGTTGGCGGGTGGCTCATACGTTTCCACAACCGTTTTAAATTGGGATTTTGATGCCCATTTCTCAAACGACTTGAAACCATCCGGTGTGGTACAGATCGGGCTTTCGAGATCAAGCCCATCTGCCGCCTGGACCTTCTCTGCCTTCTCATTGCTAAAAAAGCAAGACTGAGAAGGCTCAGCTGAAGAATATCCTTTGCGGATGACCTTCTCTAACAGTTGCTTTAGTTGGACCATATCGGGGCCTGGTGGGGAATGGTCCTGGAAGACAGGAGTATTTGGAGGGTCTCGGTTGGTAAGATCGAACAGCACCTTTTCAAGCACGTCAAAGAGATGCTTCAGATCCTCCACGGTAGCTTGAGGCGTGGCCGACCCTTTCATTGGGCTATCTGGAGGCGTCAGGCCTTGGTGACTGGGAGAGGAAGTTTCCAATGCCATGTTGTGCTCAAAGGTTCGATGAGATGGATTAGCTGATTTGGCTATAGAAACAAAAGGTTGATATAGCAAGGTTGGTGAGAGTCGGAATCTCAACGAGGGAGCATGCTGCATTATAAGTTTGCCTCACGAGATGATCTTCAGTCTGCGTGATATCCTATGGTAGGATGCATGAGAACTTCGTTCTAAAAGATTAACTCGTTCCATCTAGTGCAATCCCTCCTATGATTTCCTTCCGCCTTGAGATGGTGCGGTGGGTTGGGCGATGAGAACCGCTTTTTTTGGTCATAAATTCCTCAAAGCTCTGGTAAATTCCCCATGTGACTGCATGTGTCACATATTCCTAGCCCATTGTCCCATTTGCCCATGTGCTGTGCGCGTGGCTGTGCGCTGCGGGTCCACACAGCTTCATTGGGTAGGTTCCTTACCCCGCTCTAGTCCAATGTTGCTCAAAAATCGGGGATATTGCCGTTCCCTGTCTTGTAACATGTTACGCATTTCTTTGTCCTTTCTTCCCTAAGTTTTGTCTTTTCAGAAGTTCACCTGATTCAACGTACCCAATGACTATCTTCTATGCATGCCGACAGCAGCTACCCTTCTCGCCATACGTAGGAGACGGGCGCGTAGCACTTGTGGGCCAAATCTTACGAGCCTATTCCCGTCCACCACACTCTAAGTAAGTCAGCAACACCTACTCAGCGATGAGAGTATCTGCAGTTCCTGTGCCGTTGAATACTAGATCGAAACCGAGTCATTGCAAGGGGAACATACAATTTATTTTAAGACAACTGTCAAACCTCAAATACGTCCCCCCTAGGCCATAAACAGGAACCTTGGCTTTTGTTATGGTCTAGTGGAAAAGTACGCTGTATTTCGTTTAATAACAACTTACCACTTCCTAACACTTTCCTTTCCCCAAGACAAGGAATATCTTTTGCGAATCCTACTCTCTCAGGTGCGTCTGGCTACGAGTCTAGATCTGATATATTCGATGAACTTACTCAGGTTTGTCCCAGCATGTGTACCGTTGACGTTTCAACAAAAATCTACGAGTGCGGAGACAGGATTACAGAAGATGTCAGGTTTAAGCCTTGCCCTAACGTCGGCACCCCCGCTTGCCCGGGTCGCAAGGAAAACCCTTTAGGCTCAAGCCGGGTGAAAGGAAAATGTGGAACACACGATTGCAGAAACCCATAAATCCCCTTAGCCAATTCGAAGGGGACAAAGGGATTTTGATTAGATTGTTTGGTTAGCGAAGGATTTCGATTCTGGTTCATTCTTTCGTGCTGGATTTAAAGAAAGAAGGATAGCAAACGGATTCACATGTTGTTAAAAGCTACTTAAGCCATGTCATGACCATCCCTAGAAGCTTCTATCGCACCGAAAGACAAATTTTGATCTCGAATGAGCGACGCCACATCACTGTATCGATCTGTCCAACATCCCTGTATCACGGCACCACCAGTAAGACCATCAACTGAAGGATATTTTTGAGACGCAAAGAGTGTGTCTACTCGTTCTTCGTAGTCATTCTTCTCTGCCACAGATCGGAATGGCCCAGGGGACTTATAGGGCCAGTGGCCGGTTATGATTGTGTAGAAGACCGACCCAAGACTAAATATATCCACAGCCTCTGTTGACACCCATGGCTTGCACGGATTGAAAAAGCCGGAGTCGGGGAGATGTCCACCATCTATGTCGCCATTCGTCGACCCTCCAAAATCACATAGTAGAAGATTGAGCTTGCTTTTGGAATCGGAGTGTAATAACAAATTCTCTGGCCGCAAGTCGGAATGAATGACTCCCTTTTGGTGGATATAGTGGACGGCTTCTGCTGCCTGGTAACACCATTTCAAACGAAGAGATAGGTCGATAGCATCATTATGCTGGTCAATGTAAGCTTGTAGATTACCATCGCTAGCTTCGCCAAAGAGCAATCCACGAGGTTCCTCAGAGATACCAATATAGCTACAGTAGAAATAATATTAATAATTGGACCGCCTGGCGTTCAGCTGACATACCATATTATTCTAGGGTGCGTCCCTAATATATCGAAAAGTCGCTCTTCAACCTCGAAACTGCGCTTGATGTCCTTGACAAATGAGGATGCTTCCGCAGCTCTGGAATACCACCACGAATACCTAGGGCATTTGACAACGATACCCGGTTTTAGTCTCACTATCAATGAAGTCGACCCTTGGCTCAAGGTTTCACCGAGCTGAGGTTCATAAAGGACCGGGTCTGCTGTTTTGCCTGGTAAGACAGCTTGATATTCTTCAATTGATCCCAAAACGTGGTTCTTTGCGACGGCGGGAGAATCATTTTCCGTTAAGGGGTGTCCGCAACTCTCAATATCGTCACTCTTTCCACGTGCGAACAAATAATTTCTGATGGGCGAGTGTAATATGCGACCAAAGAGGCCAAAAGAACCATATAGGTAGTACTTTAGTAATTCATGAAAAGCCGAGTAACATTTCCAGAAGTGCGCCAACATTTTGGAGAGCTATAAGGAGGGTTTTCAACTGCCACCTGAAAAGCGTTCAAGGGTGAATTTGTCACATGATCAAGGGTGATAGCAAATACGTCAAACAAGATAGCAACTGTGGGGCTGGCTCAAGTGCTTCCAACAAACTCGACGGAAGCCTGCAAGCGCCAGAAGAATGGGCCAGAGTAAAAGAAAGGGGGAGACGATAAGGGCAAGATAGAGAGGCAGAAAAATGGAAAAGTGAGAGAAAGGGAGGAAGAGCAGCGAAGACGGGTCTTTTAAGTCGGAGAGCACTGAAGGGAGGTTACGTGACGGCGTATTGGGGCGCTAAACCCAAAAAGGCAAAACTAACCACATATAGTAATTCATAGGTCCGCCGTTTACAAAACTCACATTACAGTCGAAAACAGTGTCGCTAATAGCAAAAAGTGTGATTAAAACTGTGTTTCAGTGCTAGAGCGGCTTAGCGACTCTGCAGAGAGACCGTTGCCGCTCTTCGAAACTGTGAAACCTGGTAAGGTTCAACTGTTGCCTAACGCACTACGGGCGCTGAATACAGCGGGACGGTCTTATATTTGGCGATCCGTTTTGACTGATATTCGATAAAGACTAATAACTATTGCCAACTCAAACCGGGGAATGCTAATTGTGGCGTAGGCTATGATGATGATGATGAATTCGTTGACCCGATTTAGCTCGCTTTATACACATGCTGCTATGCGGGGGTTGCGTCCCAGAGCCCGCTCCCGACGATAAATGGTGGTGCATTCCCAGTATGCAGATCCACGCGCCACAATTAGCGCATTTAATCTCAGCGTCACCTTGCTTTGGGCACTCCCAGGTCGGGTGTCCCTTCGCGCAGTGGCCGCATTGGTACTCGTTCAAACACTACGAGTGGACGTGTCCTGGTTTTTGACACTTTAGGCATAATTTCGAACGATCCTCCCGGCAAAAGCGAGTTGTCTGGTGCACTTGGTGCTGCCAGAGCGTGCCTTGTGTGATTGCTTGGTTCGCTACCACCGGATCGGTAAATTCAATCACAATCGATCCCTCACGACGCTTACCGGGCTTAACACCTCAACCTATGCGCCGCAGCAACAAGTTACACAGAGAACGACAACACGACGGACCACACTCGCATCGAATCGGATAGTGAGTGCATCGCATCCGACAGAGATCGAAGCGGATCCGACAGAAGACACACAAGTGACGACAGTGTCACGAAAGAACCCTAAGCGTATCCCGCTCCCCGCTCCAAGCGAGATCCGGCGAATGTACGAGAGTGTCGGCACTGAGAGACCGAAAAGACAAGCACTGAACCGGCGGAAAGAAGCCGGGCCCGCTATGCAAACCAGATCGAGAACGTCGGGGGACAACGACCTGCCGACTATCCCAGAGTCTGCTATTATAGCTGTCACGGTGTGAACCGTAATGCTTAGTAAAAGGAAGATCACGGCACGTGATCTCCGACCTGTTTATCTTGAACTTCAGTTCTAGATCCTGTTGTAGCTCTTCGAGCTACGTCTTGTATAATAGCCTGCCCCTGCCTGTACCTGTCAATGGGAATCTGATCTGTTATGACCTGTTCCTACCAGTCATCTCCTATCATACCGTCCTGCCAGCCCGCACCCTGACAAAATAGCCAATATTAAGAGGTTATAAAAGGTGAGATAAATACGGAGGTATATAGATTAGCAGTACCTTATTTTACTTGTACAAATACCATTTGTGCCGGCGCGGCCGGATTCGGCCGCCCCTCGATCGGTTTTGGCGTCTACGCTTTTCCCGAAATGGCAGAGGCGCCACCCGCTCCTGTTCTGGTTTAGCGGACTCCAATCTGGTTTAGTGGTTCCCGAAGCAGCTTGGCGCCTCCACCTATCCCCAAACGGGGATCTGCCATCTCCGACCGCCTGCTAGCCAGACCCTTGGACTATATAACTTCCAGTGCGTCGCTCCACCGTCCTCCCCTCTTTGCCTGACTGCACTCTTCTCTCTTCTGTCATGCCATCGGTGAGATGATACCGTAATTCCGGATCGCACGGCATCCTTCCCCCTGCGCCTCCCTGTTTCAGCTGAGTTCCTCGTCATCGCCTGCGCGCCTTTTCTCCACTTGACTCGCTGTAGATGGAACCATCCATCGGCCCTGGTCGCCCTGATCCTCAAATTAGACCGCTGCGCTGCAACCCTGTGGTTATACTTGGGCGACAGCTTACATGCTTGCCCTCTGGTCCCTTTTTCTTCGATATGTGCTTCTTTTGCCTGCTGCAATGGCGCAGCCTTCTACGATCGGCCCGGGGAGAGAGCATTGACTTGCAATGAGATTCAATTTACTACCTAGTCAGTCGAGCACGATTGAAACGCGGCGCTCACTGAGCTAGTGCTGATCACAAGCTCTCGCCACACCCATGCATTCCATTCGCACTTGCCGCTCTTACGCCCCGCCCATGACGAAGAATGTCTCAATCCCCGGTCATTTTTCGTGAGGTCTTCGATTTAAAGTGGTCTTGGAATAGGCTAGCGTCATCTAACGGATGATGGGCTATCATTTGCTTGGACGCCAGTGTCTGCGCCAAGTGATCTTCCGTGGACGATCTTGCCGCATTTTCACTGTTCTAGCGAGGCGTAGCAAAGAGGACCGAGGAATCTGGACTATCGGAGGTTCCTGGGAGGGTCGGCACCGCCGTGCACATGATGACGTCTCACCCGACTGGACGCCGATGCCCACGCTAAGCACCCTTTCGGAGATGATCTCTCCACTATAGTCTTCTTCCGGCAAGGCGCAGCAGGGCGGACAGTGAAATTATCTGAATATGAAACACTTTGTTCCAATGGGAGAAATGCCGCATGCAGTGTCGGCCTTGCGCGTGACTCATTTGTGAATTCCGTAGTGGATGGGTTGGTGGATCCTCGTATCGGCATTGGTCTCACGACTCTTGTCCGTTCGACCTGCCCAGAACGCTCGCAACAAGGCAGGAGACGGTAGGATGGTATAAAAGATCGTTGGAACTCCTCAGAACGACGCAGGCTGACTACCTGTCACTGACTCTCTCTCATATTCTGATGCATTGCGTTTGAATCTTTTTCGCGGCATGGCACCGATCAATCTGGACGATATCATTCATAATCATCCGCCTGTGAAAAGGCCACATTTCAAACCGCTCCAGGTACCCGGTCACCATGCTCGTATCCTTTCACGGTCATCTTTTAATGCACCCGCGCCAGCACATCCGCCTCTACACGGCCAACACGGCCGTTTGGGTCCTCCACTCTCGGGCCATCCGCCGTATCTTCAAGGTCATTTCAATGCATCTAGTGAAGCCGAGACGTTATCAGCTCCCAACAAGTTTGCAGAAGAAGTGACCATTGACTGCTCGAATGAGTTTGACATGGATGTCCTGAATGCCTTTTCGGGAAAGGATGCGAACGTTGCTATATCTAACATACACACGGCGAGTCGAGAATTGCAAAAAGTTCACAGCCAAACAGAAGCAGATGAAATTGCAGGTCAGTGCTCTCTCAGCCAGCGAAGTTGCCCAGCCCCTGGCTCACGTGGTAGAAAGCAGACGAAGCCACGATGGAGGGAGATACTGTGCGACATTCGAACCCGACAATAGATATAGCAGACGGCAATACAATGGTCAATGGCCACATTCTTGACCCTGCGGGCCAGGAAAAGCAATCAACTCCAACGCGTTTGTTGCCTGGAGATGCTGGAATTGAAGCAGACGAATTACGATTAGAACCGGCAGCTTGTGTCATTGGGGAAAGCATGCCAGCCGAGAGGTACAACAAACAGCCCGTTTCCGAAAGCTATGTGGTTATTAGCCAGGAGAAAAACAGGGCTGCAGCTCATGACGACGAAGGCGGGCTACAGCGTCGTGACGCGGAGAGCCTGTCAGCATCCCCAAAACTTCGTCAAAATGGAATATTGGCGCGTTCAAGCTCACCCGCTTTACAAGGCAGTGAGAAGCAGTCGCCATGCAGCCCAACAAAGGAAGTTACAGGATTTTGTCCAGTGTTGGATCAGGCCCCAGTGTTGGCACAGCCGTCGGTCGTCATCTCCAACTTTCGTCCCCAAGAGCGAGGAACGAAGGACTCTGTCTCAATAACACGTATGGCCTCTCCGAACAGAAAGCGAGACCGTGATGAGTACATATCGGATGACAGCAGCGATGACCCTGATGGCCCCGACGATGCGGACTACGTGGGCGAAAGTGGTGAAGATGCACATGGAAACAGCATTCCTTCTCATCGACTAAAAAGAGCAAGGCGTGCTGCCGTGCAGCTTAAGCCTAGACCTCCACGGCAGAACACTAAACGCCTCTCGGTCGACGAGGCAGTTCAACCCAAAGTGGCCGCAGATCAGACTTCCCCAACAAGCTTGCACGATATCGAAACGATTCATATCCGAGGTTTCCTTACGCGATAGATACTTCTGTCGAGGGTCATCTATTCAGTTACCTTTGAAGAGCAGGCAGAGCATTCCTGCCCTCAGAGACCAGACAGAGCTACATCACATCATGAAAACAACATTGGCAGCCAGCATTTCAAGCAACCCCCCCAGAAAGGGTCCCGCGCTGGGAAAACGACTGGGCTAACCCGAAACCTGTCGAAGGACGACCAACTTTTGATTGAATTGAAGGAACAACGGAGCTTGCCATGGAAGCGAATCGCAGAGTATTTTCCTAGAAGGTCGGAAGGCTCCCTCCAGGTGCGCTATTGCACACGCCTCAAGGCCCGCAAGGCTGGAGCTTCTAGGTATTCTGGGCGGCGTTTTAACGCGGGGAGTGAATCTTCATATAGAAGCGCACCTTGTGAGTCAGTTCAAGCCGCGGGTGGCAAAAGCAAAAGCACCGAAGAAGGTGTGTCAAGGCACCGATACAGTCCACCTCGGCGCAGGCAAACGGTGGACCGCTATTCCCCGGTTTGAGTTGGCAATAGTCATCAGTCTTTCATGCGAATACAATGATAGTATGTATGCAGGTAAAACAGTATTCAATTAGATGGACGGGGAGAGAGAGAAGGTGAGAGTGGAAGGAAGACTATCTAGTTGGTCTATCCTACATGTGATGCCTGAGGCATCCAACAGTCTTTGTCGAATACACACACACAATTCATTACGCCCGGAGGTTTCAAACCTATAGGGCACCTATACGCTATTTGATCTTTCCACTGCATACATTTTGTCATAGTCTCATTTTCGAGAGGAAAAGCTGAACCAGCTGCCAAAAACCCCTCTAGCCCATACGGGTATGTCCTTAACGATTTCTTCTTGTTGTTGTCGTCATATCCTCTCCCCAAAAGCAATAACACATCCCTCTGTGACACCGGACCCCCGACGTGTCCATTCTCGATGTAGTTTCGTGGACCTCTTCCCTGAGTAGCGATTTACCGAGAGTACTTCTCATATTGCCGCCCGAAGTAGCTGACTGCCTCGCCGGCGGCAACACCAGATAGCAGACGAAGGACTGACGAATATCAAGGCTGACGGTAGCTTCTAAATGGAAACAGCTCATTTGAAGTAGATAAAATCAGCGCTTCTTGGAGCATAATTAAATCCCCGGATACCAAGCTCTAGGCTGGAACATAACTTAAGATCAAAACACACCAATCCAACATTTCGTTGTGACCAACAGACACCGGGGTCAACATGGTGTTATCTCGCTCTAAAACTCAAGATCACTAAAGACAACCCGCATCATGGCACCCTCCAGCGGCAAGGGATCGAGAATCTTCTCAACATATGCTGGCCAGTCGTCAATCCACTGCAGGAGGGGAAAGATATGAGAGTATTCCCAGTGCGAAGGATACCATCCAGCCGCTTCCCAGTCGACAAGGGCAGCTACTTCATACTCTTCTTCATTTGTGACAGAATTAACGACTTTTCGTACAAGAACATTCTCTCTGGAGAGATCTCCGTGGGTGAATATAGGTGGATGATTGCGAAGTGCCAATGGGAGGTGGCGAGCAAGATAGTCGGAGAGAAAGCTATGACGATTTGATTCGCTCCACATATTTTTTGAGCGAAGTGCGATGGCTTTTCCAAATTCTTCTTCCGTTTGGAAAGGGCCGGTAACAGCAGCGTCCTTTTCACGAGAAAAAAAATACCTATGGGGAACGGGTCCTCTGTTGACGCTGCCATAAAATCCGGGCGATGGCAGCGCTCTCATCTGATCAAAGATACATCGCAATTGTCCAACAATCAAATTTTTATTTGCCTCGGTGAGCGAAGACCACGCCATCCCTAGAGAAACGTTGGGGATGTATTCCATGACGATATACAGGATGTCCCGATCGCGGTACATGGCGTAGAGTCGTGGTGCTGCGATGTTGAGTCGTTTTTCAACAAAAATTAGAGCATATCCCTCATTTTCGGTCACAAGCGGGCCATATTTCACAACGTATTTGTCTCTGATTACGACCATGCGCCCACCGTAGTCTGATCTCTTAGGGAGGGTTCGTGTTGCCCGTTCAATCTCATTCTGATCGGGAAGTGGCCCTGGTAATTGACCAGCATCCCGATAATAAGGAAGGGAGAAAGGAATAGGCATAGTTGGATGGGCGACGTGTCAAAGAATGGAACAGTTGATGGCAAGTTGAGGATGCGGCCCCAAGAGTTCCTACCCTTACTAAGGTGTAGACCTTTTTAGGCTAGTGGTAAAATCATGTGGTTTCTAGCTAGCACGTGACTTGGGGGATGGGATGCCTGTACACCTATCCCTTTCCACAGACTAGATAGGATTTAGCTTGGCAAAAATCCAAGCATACATCCCATATCCGCTATATTTACTACACAGTCCATAGTGTATTGTATGTCGGAGCATACAGACGTTCCCCTTCGGCCTACGCTTGGTTCGAATCGCCGATGCACCTGTACTGGAGCTGTTGTCAATCGCCGACTCAATGAGAAGCCAACACCTTACTTTTTTTGAGGCTTCCCACCCAATACACAAATAACATATATTGAAAATAATGAGTATAGTTATCTGGTAAGACATGCCTACGAGGTACAGTTCAAATCTATCTACTTTGCACTCATCAGCTCCCAGGAATTGGTATCTCTGAAAAAAAAAGGCCGAAAAACACGGAATAGACCATTCATTCATGGTTTACCACTACTCGAAACAAAGATAGCAACAGACAAGAAAATCCAACAACGAACAGCACATGGTAGTAGAGAAAAAATAGTAAGGAAAAGCACTGGTAGGCAGTTAACACGGACAATGAAATCCAGAAAGCAAAACATCGTATGGCCTCATGCTTTCATATTTTTCAAGAAAAGGCGATGGATATACCAGTACCCAGAGCCAAAACATAACAAAAAGAAATAAAAGAATCGTGTCTTTCAGATTGTCACCAGCGGCCGATAATGGGGCACCAACCCACAGTTTGGTCTATTGCTGAATAACAAGCCCGTTTGCTCTAAGAGCAGGTAGGGCTCGCTCCAAAGTCCACTCAGTGCACTTCACCAAGGGCCTTCGGGGCTCTCCTGGCCCGTAGAAGGTCAGTGGAGCCTGGGTCTTGAATGGTTCGGTTTTCATTGTCTTGATGTTGAAAGCCTTCTGCTGGGGCGGCGCCGGGACGCTCCCCAGGACCCTATTCCAGTCGGCAGGATGCTTGGACACGGGCGTAACGCCCAGTTTCTCAAGCGAGTAGAAAGACTGCGAGTACTCAGGAGAATGCCTTGGTTGTGGGGTATAAATCATCCCATTCGCAGAGGTTATATCACCCATGACGTGGTGCAAGATGCCGCTCTTGTCTGCCGCGGTTTTGACGAAGATAGTCGTGTGAAATCTCGGACTCGGCATATCAGGGTCTTGCATAGCGAGATTGCATCGCGCAAGGTAGACTTCGTAGTACCCAGACATTCCGGCTTTGGTGAAAGGGTAAGTTACAGGCTGAGGAAAGGTTGGGTGTGGAAGAACAAATAGAACTCCTAAGAGAGATTGCAATGGATTGAAGGTGGACTGGAAGAACTATGACCGAAATAAAGCAACTAAGCTCTTTATATATGTTGAACCATGGGATAGACATTTAGTTTTATCCCCCTGAGGCTGCGAGGCTGGCGCTTAATTCGTTCACTCAGTTCTCCGTCTGCATCTTTTCTCCAATGATTTTCTGATTTAGCCTCAGGGTGGTGAGGCTTGGGATTCAAGCTAAAACCAAGCAGGGCCTTCTATTGAATAGGAGGTTGCGCGTAAGTGATACTCTCCTGCCACACATCACAATGTCAGCTCAGTATGCAGCATCCCCAGGCCAGTGGTTTTCAACAATTGCCGCTGGTAGAATGTACTAGGGCAATACCTAGGGGGCTGTGATGTTTTCGATAAGAGCCTTAGGAGGGCGCTTATGCAAGCGGTGAGCTATCTGGTCAGAGACACAGGTGACAATTACAACCCATCCGGCGGGCGTTAAATGGGTGGCTGTTTGTTGAATTCAGGAATTAAGTTACGTTTTACAAGCATTAGATGAGTCAATAGCTCACCAACATGGTGCCTGTTGAGATCTAAAATTGTTGGAATGTCATGTGACCACCACTGTTTGCTCCCAGTACTTAATCTCAGTCTTAGCATGTAGATAGTTTCTCTCTCTCTCAACGCATCAAGAGATTTCCAGTTACATCTACATTCATCGTAGATCTCTAGTATCTCTAACAAAAATACTATTTAAAATACCAAAAATCACTAAATGGCATGCTAAGGCAAGGCAAAGAGGCCTGCTAAGCGCTGCCCACGGACTTGGAGTAGGCTCTCTCCTGTCACATCACCGATTGGTAGACCTTGCCATATTGCTTTTTTGGGCGGCCCATGGGCTGTGCGCAGCCCAAACCCGCCCATCAATACATAAATTACAAAGATACAATATTAGACTTGTCATAATTATTGAGGTAAAAATAATGGAGGCAATAACATGAAAGTCGTTCGGAAGCGCTGAGGAAGGATTTAAGATGTGGGTTCTCTGGGACTCCTTTCTCTACCTTGGGGTAGGTTGACCATGCCGCAGATGCAGGTAATTGTGACCACTGGGTCCACTCAGACTGCCTAGTCTTGACGCGCCCAGCATCCTTCGTGACCAGCGATACGCTTAGTGTCCAGCCATGTCCATGTCTGAGATGGGCTATAATTTGATTTCATGCATGTGCCAAAGCACAGATCCCCTCCCGATTATGAATGATAGGCTGTTTCTTGGCGCTGGCCTGCTCTATTTTTGTTTTAGCACTACTCGGATCACCTCAGCC